TTAAATGGTTTGATACAGAATGATTAAGTGACCAAAATGATTAAAATACTCTCATGATATAGTGCAAAATGAAATATAATTGTTTGGTAATCATTCCTAATGATATTAAGGTGCTGAATCGTTAAAGAAGACTCAAGATACAAAATCATTCAGATGGTTTTAGAACCATTAAGAGACAAATTTTTTTTTTGCCATACAAGATTTATTTTTTAGCGATTCAGATGCTGCCTATTAATGAAACTATTAAGATGTAAACAGACAACTCATAACTATACAACAATCTTACCCTTGATACGAGAGAATATAATTAATTTCTCAATCTCATAAATTAACAATATAATTAGAAAGTAACATTTTTCTTTTTAAGGTGGGTACTCGTTTTTAAGATAAACTAAAATGAAATAGGCTGATTACTGGCAACACGACCAGTTTTTTACATAACCTAATGTTCGTGAATCACATGTGACGAGATATTTCAGAATTAATTCAGCGACTGAGACCATCAGAGAATTTTAAACGTTTCTTGTAGAATTCAAACTTGAACATATTGTGTATTTAAGCGAAATCATTCCACCTATTTGTCAAATCATTCCACCTGTTTTGTTATTACTTCAAGATTTTCTTTTATATTTTTAGTTTTTTGTTTTATTTCAATTTAATACGTTTTTTAGCGTTTTTAGTGGAGTGGTTTTAAGGCAACAAGTACGATAGTTGGTGGCTCGTCACGTTATGATATATGAAGACGATAAATCTTGTTACATGTATCAAAATAAATCAAACGTTTTTGTCAATTTGTTTTTGTATCCTATCATTGTTCTTTTTGTTCACCGTTGGTGTCTGAGTCATCTTGCATGCATCTCAACTGATCATAGAGCCCTGAAGAATAGTCAGGAAAATCCCCACTAGCCTTGCAGGACTTGAACCAGTGATACATGGAAAGAATTACCAAAAGCTCAAGCCTTATTGTCAGTTGAACTAACCCCACAATGTATACTATATCATTATTAGCATGTCAAATATTTTTGTTAATACACATATATATACTTACGAGGGTGTAGACGTGAGGATTGAGGAGTAAAAGGAAACACAGACGAATACTTTTAAGTTTCTAGGCTCAATGATTCATAAGCAGAGGGAGATAGCATATGTCATTACGCACCACCTAAAGACAATGTATAAAGTGGAGAGTTTCTACAAGAGTGTTGTGTGATAAGATGGTATCAGTCCCGAGTAGGAATAACACTAAACTAACAAGAAAAAGTAGAAGGAGGGGGGGGGGGTTGAATACAATTTCTAAGTTTTTCAAAATTTTTAATTCTTATTGATATGAATATCAAGAATTACACAAAGAGTACAAGACTGAATGAGGAATTTAGGAAGTTCTTACAACACAAAATACCCTAAACAATCTTCTCACTAAGAACCTGAAGAACAACTAGAACACAGGGGAGAATTCTGATACCGCAGGAGGACTCACTGATTTCTTGTTCACGTAGAGAGCAAATTTTTAAAGCACACGTTGCATGGAGGAACTACTTTGCTTTAAATACCATCATGTGCATCAAATGTATGGGGACACTTGTCACTTGGGGATAAGTTGCTTAGTGTTGACTTTAGAACTATGAGGAGCCCTTTTCATCGTACACTTAAAAACAACTAGTCTTTGAACAAATAATAGTGTCTTTTGATGTGTTACATCAAGGCCATGATTGGACAAACAAACCTTTTCAGGTGCTTCAGAGAATGTCTTTGTCAAAAATAAGGTTGGTGGGATTTTGTCAGATCGTTTCTTGCAAGACAATCTTCAAACATATCAACTGATAATGAGGGGGCAGAAATCGACTAGTACCATATCTACGAGTGAGTTAAAACGTGGAGATAAAATAGAGAAGGCAGCTGATTCGCATTGGCTGGTTTTCTCTTTGATGATATTGGTTAGTCTTCGATTTGCCGAACTTCTCAAAGCACATTCCAAGTTCCTAAAGAATCTGAAGTACAGATGTACAAGTATTAAGAGTATAGACTAAAGTCACCAACAAATTTATATGTGACTCAACAGATGGTACCCTTAATATTAAAAGGGAAAATTCTACAAGGTCGCCACAAGATGCGTTATGTTGTATGATTCTAATTGTTAGACATTAAAGAAATTGGAAGTTGCATAAATAAAGATGTAAACGGAGATGTGAGGGGCAAGCCCAGGAGAATAGAGTAAGATCAGATGAGGATAGACATGACGAGTCTTGGTATTTTCAAGGACACAACATCCGATAGGAATTTCTTGTAGAAATAGTACTAGAGAATAGAGATGGCCAAAAACCGGTCCCGGGCCGGTCCCGGGCCGGTCCCAATCGGTCCTAACATTTCTCATAACCGGCCATAACCGGTCCTGGCGTAACCGGTCCCGGTCTCGGTCCCGGTCCCGGTCGAAAATAATAGGACCGGTATAGGTACTCTATAACCGGTTATGGGCCGCCGGTCCCGGTCCCGGTCCTAACCGGTCCCAATCGGTCCTTCATTAAAAAAATAAGATTTTTATTTTTATTTTTTTAATGATATATATTTTTAATACATTATAAAATTTACAATTGGGTCACTCAAATACACTTTAAAAATACGTTTTAATATAATTAAAATTACGTTTTCTTATAAAAATACATTATAAAATTATTTAAAAATACATTTATTTATAATATTATTTGAATTTTCGGGCCGGGCCGGGCCGGTCCATCGTCGGTCCCATAACCGGTCCCGGTCCCGGTCGGTCCCGGTCCCACGAAACTACCAAAAACCTTAACCGGTCCCRGTTTTCGGTCCCATAACCGGTCCTTACCGGTCCCGGTCCCGGGCCGGTCCTTTGTCGGTCCCGGTCCCGGTCCTCCGGCGGTCCCGGGCCGGGCCGGGCCCATTTGGCCATCTCTACTAGAGAAGCCGATTTTAAGTGGGATATGGTAGAGAGTGTCGTTAAAGGTATAAACCAGAGGGTAGAAACTAGAACGTATGCAAATAGGATCCCTGTGTGAGATACCTGAGCGTGATAGGACCAGACCCGTTCCTGACATTTTTTAGGCCCTAGGCGAGATGTAAAAAAAGGACCTCGATAAGTACGATAATTTTTCAATATATTGTTTTTATCATCAGAAAGAATATTGAATTTATATAAAACCGTTTTTCCGAGTATTCATGGACGCAAAATCAATCAGTACTCGTTTGTAAATTAATATTATCTACTAGAACATTTTTATGTAGTATCAGTAATTTGTTTCATCATCAAAAACATTATATGATATACTTTTGGTACATAGAATGACATCATTTGATGTCACAAAGTCAATTATTCTAATTTCCGAGTGACACTATGTAAATCAATGTAAATATGTTGGTTTTCCATGTCATCTCATGTTAATGTTTTTTAACATCATTTTAAACTTTTATATTATGTTTTCGAATTCGGGAAGATTAACACCATTTTAAACTTTTATATCATGTTTTCGAATTTAAGAAGATTAACAACATTTTAAACTTTTATATTATATTTTCAAACGTGGGAAGAAAAGAAAATAATGAGAAAAGAAAAGAAAAATAAAAGAAAGAAAGAAAAACAAAGTTTTTTATTTGAGTTTTTAATAGAGTAGAAAGCGGAAAGAAAAATAATGAAATAAAAATAAATTTTTATATAATTTTTTTCTTTTACCTAAAAAAATCTCGAGAACAAATAATTTTTCTTTCCCCTATTACTTTCATCACTTTTCTACGTAAAAGAAGATTCAAGAACATAGGGTTAGGGTTAAAATAAACTTTTTTGTAATCATCGATTGTATAAATTAAAAAACTCATGTTGGTGATAGTTTAAGATTATATTCTTCTTTTAGAGATAGAATAGTACATACGATTTATATACTCAATATTAGATAATAAAGAACAACTATGAAAAAACAATTATAGTTTTATTACTCTAAATATAAATATAAATTGTACCATCTTATATGGTTGATAATTTTTTCAAAAGACAGAGGTTTTATTAGCTAATAACAAGAAAATCTATTATATATTCTAATATAAAAGTATAATTCACAAGAGAATGGAACAATCAAAAGAGTCAATGGGAGATAAATTATGGATAATATATCAAAGTTTCCGAAGCAAGTAGTTTTAGATAAAAAAAACTTAGAAAAACATTAAATAATATTATATAATGAACGACAAATTAACCTTTTTATGTAATTTTTTTCTCCAATATATTTAATTTATACATGTTTAGGTCTTTAATAGTTGATGTAGTACCAAAATCTTTTCTCGTCATATTAGATATTAATTTTTTTTTGTCTTCTATTTACTAATTTTTTTGAATTACTATTATATATATTAAAAATATTGGACCCTTAATTTTTATGGGCCCTGGGCGTACGCCCGACCCGTCCTCCCCCAGGGACGGCCCTGGCCTTTCTTTCTTATTCGACTTTCCTCTTTGCCATACTTGTATCTTTAAGTTGCAATTTAACATTAGTTTTAATCGTATTACATGGTTTACCAAACCTATTTCGTTTGCTTGTACACCTTTGAATCGTGCACAAACAATGAAATCGTTACCAGTTATATTTTTCAGAGTACCTATTGTATTCATCGATCGTATTTCTGCTTGTACGGTTTTTACAAAAACGACCTCTTGATATCTTATAGTTAAGATCAGGTCCGGAAACGTTTCATTTTCTTTATCATGTAACATTTAATTTGTTTGGGTTGATTATTTATTATTATTTTATTATTTATATTTATATTTATATATAAATAAAAATTAAAAAGGTTTATAGAGTTTTAAAACACATTAGAATGGTTACACGTGTGTAAGTTTATTACAAGGGTGGTCTTCCTCTTGGCCAATGGATTCTTGTTCCCGTGGTTTATACTTTACCACCCCCTACCCCACGACCCCCACCTCACCCCCACTTCACCCCCACCCTACCCCTCCCACCCCAAACCCTTTGCTTTTCTCTCCTCTTGACTCACAAAATGCTCTTTATAAACCCCTTCTCTTGCTTCTCTTCCCATTCCCACCGCCCACCGCCTCCGTTCTCCTCTCTGTATTTCTCTGAAAGAAATGGAGTCTACAACCACAAGGAGGCCTTATTTTGTTGAAGAAAACAATGGGCTTGCTTCCATATCTGACTTAGAACATGGGTTCTCATCATCACCATCATCATCGACGGAGGACAACCACCACCATAACCACCACCTGATCTCCAGACCTATATACTCACCAAGAAAAACAAGTCTCAGAAACCTTTCTTCTTTCCCTTCTCTTTCTTCTCCAAGATCTGGGAGGATTTTTCATGGAAGATTTGAAGAACAACCTCATTTCTTAGATGCTTGTTTTCTCTGCAAAAAACCACTTGGTCCTAATAGAGATATCTTCATGTACAGGTAATTTAATCCAATCTTTATCAACTTTTTTCATGTTTTGTTGGTTAATCAGTGAGATTTATCATACTTTTGATGATTTTGGATCAAACCCCAGATGGGTTTTGTGTTTGTTATCTGATTTAGGGAAGAGAACGTTCTGAAAACTTCATCATTTTTCATGGATATTTGAGTCTTTCATCCATCTTTAATTGAAGATTTTAGATCATATCTCAGATGGGTTTGCTCTGTTTTCCATTTTTGAGACTAAAAAATTGATTTTTTCCCCTAATTTCCTCATCAATCAAAGAGATTTCCACCAAATCTTTGATGGATTTTTGAGTCTTTCATCAATCTTTAACTGGTTTTAGATCACATCTCAGATAGGTTTGCCTTGTTTTCCCCTAATTTCCTGGTCAATCAAAGAGATTTCTACCAAATCTTGAAGATTTGAATCATAAACCAAAGAAATTTTCACCAATTTTAGAGATTTTAGATCATATCTCAGATGGGTTTCCCCAAATCTTCCATTTCTTATTCTGGGGTTTGATGAATTTGATAAAAAATTATGATCTTTCCCTAATTCAGACCATTTTCTCATGAATCAGAAAGACTTTATTGAAAAGTTACCAAATCTGGACCAATTTTCTGATCTGATTTCTTGATGAATTTGCAGAGGGGACACACCATTCTGTAGTGAAGAGTGCAGAGCAGAGCAGATTGACATCGATGAATCCAAAGAGAAAAACAAGAATCTTTCTGCATCAATGAAAGCTTTGAGGAAGAAAGAACAGAGTGAAACTTCTCCAAACAAAAATTCCAAGAAATACCCTTTTCATTCTGGTGCAGTTGCTGCTGCTTGACTAGTAATTCCATCCTAAAACAAGGGGTATAAAAGGAAAAATTTTGTCCATTATAGAAGAAAGTATGTGAGGTGAAAAAGAACAAGAACCCTTCTTTTTTACCTTTTTCTGTTATAATTATTTACCACTCTACTGGTTTTTTTTACTGTGGTTAAAATGCTATATAGCATAAAGATGAATGAGGATGAGGGTGTATGAAAGTATGGTACAACTACTTAATGCATAAAGTTATTGTACTTGCTATCTTTATGGTACATCTGAGTATATATGCACAAAAGTAACAAGTCCTATATGAAACCATTTTTCTGGTTCTTTGCCCCTTCCTATTTAAGTTGTGACTTGAAATGTTCTTTTTGGAGACCACATAACTTTTCCCAACCTTTTTTGGATTAAATAATGGTATAAAATACTTTTCCTTTTGACGTATGACTCCGTAAATGGACGTACGATTTTGTTCAGATGTATAACAAGTTCAAATCCAGTGGAAAGCAGACTTGAACCCACCGTTAGTCTTAGTTGTTGAGTTAGCTTTTGAACGGCTCTTTATATGTGGTTCCTACAAGGCGAGTCCTGTGTAGGGCCCACAACCAGGAGGCTGGCTTGAAGCCTCTCTGTTAGCCCCTTCCTCGTATGTAGTTCCTAGCGGGCTTCATATGGGCTGACAACCAGGGGCTAGCTTGAACTTTTCTGTTATACCTCCTCACGTGTGGTTCCTAACGAGTTTCATAAGGGGTCGACAATTAGGAGGCTGGCTTGAACCTTTACCTTTAGGTTAGCCTTGGCCGCTGAAATGCCTTTATGTGGTTTTTGGAGTACGTGTTTCGTATGGAGATTATGGTTCATAGAAGACGGGTTTCGTATAAGATACGATCGGAGTTATTGGTATTTAGGAGATGTTTGGCAGTTGCTGAATGGTTTGGTGCTGAATGATTAAGTGACTCTCATGATATAGTGCATAATGAAAATAATTGTTTGGTAATTGTTTATAATGAAATTGGGGCTCTTAATGGTTAAGGGAGATCCATGATACAAAATTATTCAAAAAGTTTTAGAATCATTAATAAACAGATTTTTTTTATCAAACAAGATTCACCTCTTAACGATTCAGAGATTACTTTTTAAATGAAACTATTAAAAGATAAATAAATAACCCTTTAACCTTTTTATTCAATTGGCATAAGATACTTTACTTTTTAAAATATTAGAGAATAAAGTAAAATATTTTAAATATAATTATAAGAGTTGTATATTAAATAATACTTTGTCTAAAAGAAAAATCTTAGAATATAATTTAATATACACTTTCTTGAATTTTAATTTTTAATTTGAATAATATTTAAAAGAATATTTTTCATATATTGTAATGAATAATTTTGAATTTTTAGATATTTTTAGACTTGAATATAAAATCGGTTTAAATTGAATAAAAGACAAAAAAATGGATACAATTACAAAAATGCTCCTTGTTTAATGGAATTTTAACTTATAGTTTATTTTAAAATATAAAAATGCCCAATTTAATTTATTCTGATTTATTCTTTTTAATATTTAAATATTTTTTTGTGTTATATTATTTTTACAATTTTTATTCAGATAATACTTTAATCGTTTTTATTTATTAAAAACTAATAATATATGCTTCAGAAAACCGATAGATAAATCTTGTAAACTAAATTTGTTGAATTGTGTTTTCGCGTTTTTATAAAAACAGACAAAATTACAGATGCTTTTAAATAGGGTATGATTCAAACAAAAACGTAGTCAACACGAAAAGTGTGAGAATGTTCAAATTACATATGATTTACAACATGTCCAGAAGGGTTTTGTAGACCAACGATCATTCTGGACGTGTTGTAAATATATGATTTACTATAAAATCACATGTGATTTGACTCATCTTATGTTTGTCATAAGCTGATAACTTTCTCATCTGATTCTACTTTTTATCGTTTAAATTATCTTAAAAAATCCCAACAATCAACTATCAGAAACAAGATGTTGAAAAACAATAACACTTTACATTTGTCGTTAATTTCATCATAAAACTATCCGAGTAACAAGCGGATTTTAATCGTAATAAAAACGTCCCAATAAATGAAGGGTTACAATTTCTCGAACGTATTTACTTTTTAAGGTTGTCCATCGAAAAAAACGTCACGAAAATACATATTTTGGTTGAAATTATTGGATCCGCCATTGAGGGTAGTCACGATGGCCACTCCATCAACCCCACTCACCTCACAACATTGTGTCGTGGCCTTGTGGGGAAGGTATAGGAGAGTTTTGTACTGATATGGCATGAAACGTAAGTATCCGGGCCAGATATATTATCATTTCAATCACACTTCCAAAAATTAGCAGTGAACAACAAAATTTATACAAGAAACAAAAACATTTCAGGTAACTGTATGCACTCGCGCCAGCTTACATGCACCCACTAATCCTACAACAATCAAGAATGACTTGAACTCGTCACAGGTGAACCTTAATGACCACAAAGGCTTTGGCAACACTGGATTCAAATCCAAGAAAGATACAATTTCCACTACGTCACCTGATTCAAATACGGAAAACGACGTGTACTGGGTTCGTCGTATAACGAAACTTATCGTCTTTTTAATAAAAAAAAAGATTTTTGAAAATGAAATAAAAATTGGTTTTTATTGAATAATGGGGTATGAAAAGCATGTATAAAAAGGGGGACATTTTTAGGCATGTCACAATAGTCCATAATGCCATGAGCTGTAAACATGCTCATTCAACTCTATGATTATGTTCCCAATAGTGTCCACCCAAATCAACCTAACCCAAATAAAGCATTTTATTTATTTTCTTCTTTAATCAGTCAGAAATCTGATCTGTTTTTAGTCGTTTTTATAGAATTATCGTGGTGTAACGTGTTTAACAGTGTTTTTTATGTTATCTTTCTGTATTTATTCGATAAAAAATTTAGTTCTGGGTTATTGTTTTAATTTAGGTTGTATCAGTAGCGAATTAGAAAATTAATGAATAAAGAGCAAGAAGTACAGTTTTTTAGGGGTGGGGTCTTCCTCTGGGCTTGTGAAAGTCAGTTCGAATGGAGAACGAAATAACAGCTGGGGTTGTGGGATTAAACTGATTATATTTGGTTTTGTTAGGGCGGCCTTGGGTGGAAGTTGTTTGACACGATGCAATAAGTTTTTTACTTCATATACAAACAACAGCGTAGTGGTAAAGGCTTGGGCATGACATAGTCATGAACCCGAGTTCGAGCCCTGGGAGGGGAGTGTTGGCGACATTTAAGTGGAACCATGTTTAGCCTCCAAATTTGCCGGGGATTAGTCGGGTTTTGGCCCGGACACCCTTAAAAAAAAAAAAAAAAAAAGCGTAAAAATACATAAGTTTAAGAGAAAAAAAAAGAAAAAAAGTAGTTCACTGATCTTGCATTTTCCACTTTTTTTTCGAGCTCATAGACACGCAAGTCCACTATATAATGTTGGTTACAGAAAAATTGAGTGCTATCATATAGCTTTGTATCAGCTAAGTTCACGAGTCGGAAATAAGCGGACTCGAACCACTGACATTCGCCGCAAGACAAACTATTGCCTCTCAGGTCACCCGACTGATTCTACCATAGAGGCCAACGATACACAATAACTCCCCCTGCACACAGTTTACAACTTTCATCGTATTGTGCTCTCCAAAGAGCAACTCTTCTCAAAATCTCACTCAAAAGGTGTTGATTTGAAATCTCATTCTAATTCTAACTAAAGATTCTTGTGGTTGTATAACACTGATCGTTACAAAATTTAACTACAGTGTATATGATGAGTGTTTCAGTATTTGAAATTCTTTCAAAAAAGATTAAACGAATATCTGTTGAGCTTGTGAATTATTGATATTTTTCAGTTGACAAATACTGTTTTAAAATACGATAAATACATCTGTTTATATACAAAAAAGATTCAAATACAGATAGATGGGATTAGATATCATGGTGGATGTTGTGAACAGAAGTTTCTGCAACTATGACGTTGGCTGTACACAGTGTCAGACTAAAAAACCAACCATTTTCAATGCGGTCTGAAATCGTACTCGAATTTTCGAAAAGATTCTTTTAAAATGTTGAACGCTTTTTGACATACACAAAAGTCAAAACTGAACCTTTAACGTATACAGAATCAGACGTTTCATATTTGACAAGATCACATCAATCTGTTAAAACGAGAGAAACAAAAACCTACGTTTCAGAAAACACATTTTAATCAATTCCAAAATGTTTGATTAATTGTTTCACAACCAAAAATGATTTAAAAGTAAATCTCAATCCAAAAGTATTTATATAATGTAATTATTACACTTTTTAAATAACTAAGAGGCCGTTTATCAAACGCTTACTCGGGTAAGTGAACACCAAGTCCCATTACCTTACCGGATGAACATGGTAAGGATCAAGAATCTTATCCGGTAAGAGCGAGACACGAAACAAGAGTGTTATCCGGTAAGTGAGGGCGATGACTCTTACCATGGTAAGAGCTTACCGGGTAAGTTGTTGCACACGATACCGTTTTGGTGGACTAAAATCTTACTCGGTAAGTAAATGATAATGTTAAAACTTTACCGGTAAGCGCTTACCGGATAAGTATTTGGTAAACGGTCCCTAAATGATATTTTTATTGTTGACAATAGAAAGAAAAGCTTTCTCCATCTTATAATTTATGATTAAATGAAAAGATGAAAGTTTATTTTGCAACAAACTAAAATAAAAATTTAGACACTTAATTTTCCTGCATTTGGGCCGGAACAAGTAAAAGAACAACGGTCATGGATTAGGGCCAGGCCCATGTATTTGGGCCACCACTTCTTTCAAATCCAATAGGGTCTAGAGATAGTTAAATGGTCCGATGTTGGTGGAACGGGACCATGACCGACTTGGGACCGGCTCGACTCCGGATCGATTGGGATCGGGACCGGTCCAACGATCCTTAACCGGTTATGATTTTTAGGAATTTTCCTGGCCCGAGACTGAGACTAGTCTAACGATCCTTAACCGGTTATGATTTTTGAGTTTTCCTGGCCCAAGACCGGGAAGTTATACATAGTTCTGATTTTTTTATAAAGAAAATCAAGTTTTGTAAATTATATATCAAGTTTTTTTTTTAATTTTTCATTTTTTTGATATTCTTCAAAAATCTGCAAGTGTCCCAATACAAAATCTCAAAAATTGTAACCATAAAGACATCTAAAACATTTTTGTATTAAAAAGATTTAAAAAATATTTTAAAAAAGAAATTCTTCAACAATATTTTTTTACATTCAAAATTGATTTTTGGGAGGAAAAAAAATTGAGACCGATTTGGGCTAGGCCCGGTCCTAGGACTGGTTCTAGAGGGTTACGAAACAAGGAGACCGGGCCTCGGGATTTTGGTCGGATCGAGATCGGTTAGACTTAGACCAGTTACGAAAGTCAAATTAAGACAAAGAACGATATGGGTTCGGATAGGCTTGACCCGAAACTATTTTTGGCCCTCTCTACACGATCCATCTCCTTTTGCTAAAGAATTGGGTCAAACCCATCAAAATATTTTTATTTTAACTATCAGTTGTTTTTGTACGTGTAGCTCAATTTGTAACGGAAGACGTGATCTTGTCCAAATAAAAAGTTCAATCCCGACACCTCCCGCTACGGTTGTCGGTAATCAGTTTTTTTATCCAAATTTTGATTTATCATTTTCTTTTTCTCTTAATTTAAAATTATAAATGTAAAAGATAATATAAATTAGAGCTAAAATAAGTTTGCCGACAAAAAACATGTACGATAAGAGATCAGATTTTTAACCCAATGGGTTATTGACACGTGTGGTAGATCCAAAAAAAGTAGGAGATCCTTCAATAATTACGTTTTTCAGATCCAAAAGTTCTCATATTCACACCAGGACGCTTTAATAACTTGTACATCATGCTTAAATTGTGCTATTAACTACAAATTTTAGTAATTTTGTATCTGGAAAAAGAGATAAGCAACTGAAAGTCCCTTTTCACTACGAAATTTACGTGATCGCCATTAACGACCTTCGATCACACTGCAAATTTCCATCTGAAAAACCCTCTCTAAAAATGGAAGGTCTAGTGAAGGATTTAGTTGATTGGGGATTAGGAGATGATGATGGAGTAAAAAAGAATGATGAAGATGGAATCGATGAACGATCTCGATCCAGTTCATGGGCGCAGGTATATGAAGTATCAGTGATTAGGTTAATTGTTCTTAAATATCTGTTTACTGATGGATCGGATAATCTGCAGATTGTGTCCGGGGATCAGGAGAATGAACAGAATCACGGTAGAAATAGTAATCGGAGAAATGAGGTTAGTATGAAATTGAGTTATTGCGATTAGGTTCTTAAAATGAATCGAGATTGTTTGGTTTGTGTAGGAACGGGTGGATGGGAGGAATCAGGAATGGGGATCCGGTGGATCACAGCCTTCTAGGCGACCTCAAAAGGTATTCTTTAGTTGTTACTCTCTGGAAGAAGTAATTAACTTGCTGAATCATGAACATGGTGAAATCCGCCAATTTTTGAAAGTTAAAATTGATCTGTTAACGTATATAAGTTCAACTAATTGGATTGCTAATGATGAACAAATAGCTTGATCTCTATGTGAGTTGTGTTCTTATATGAACTTGTGGTAGAATTATGAATTTTAAGACAGACTGGAAGATTTCAAGAGTTTTTTGTGTTCAAACAAAATCAAGTTTCTAGGGTTTTGAAATTTTAATGAAGGATTAAGTGGTCAGCTTGTTTTTGACCATTAGAGCTCATTAGATCACTGCAGAAATGAAGTTGTATGTTTTCAAAACTGTATCCAAGTTAATTGTAAAGTTCATATATGAATCCAGTTCATGAAACTATGCCTTATTTCTATCTGAACACTTTTTCTCTTTGGTTTGAACTCGTTCATCGGAGTTTCCATGCCAGAGCTTTGTTTCGATCGACTGAAAACTTGAGTCTAGAAGCAGCTTTGATCATTTTGCCTCCAAGTTATTAGCTATTTTTAAATGAAATTTCTTGTGGAGATCCAACCCGCTATGCGAGCCGACTATTTCCAGGGCGACCATCTACTTTGCGGATAGCCCGGAGTCACCATATTTGAACCTCCTTGGCCACAAGGGGATTTTTATTCCTCCTTGGATTTGAACTTGGGACCTCTTGATACTTTTGACCTTTGGAGGCAAGCTCAAACCAATCAGGCACCACCCTTGTGGTTGTTTATATGGTCTTTTTGCTAGGTGTTTGTTGCAACTTCAAATCTGTACATGGTATGCATTATTTATTGGATCCATAGTCTATGAAAAGAACTGAATAATTGATCAACTAGTGGATGGGTATGTTTACAGTTGTTTGACATGTCCTGTTCACTGAACCGAATGCTCCACTAGCCATGGTATAATGTGAAAAATCTCTGAAATGCAGGCTGTGAATGAGGAGTATGAAAGATATGAAGATGGTAGGCAAGATAATTATAAACAAAGCCACCCTGATCAAGAGGTAGTGTTTGTGTTGTTAATGATTTTTCTGATCAATGGATAGTGTTTATGCAACTTCTAATGAATACTCCTGTTTTACGCGTAATAATGCAGACCGGAGAAGAAAGTAATGATGGCTGGGAGACAGTTGGGAAGAAGCCTGCCAGAAGACACCAACAGGTTCGTTGTTATTAGGCTGTTCTTCAATTTCATAACTACAGTTGGTTGAAACGTTTTTGTGATAATGTTCAGATAAACCAAATCAAACTAAACATACCCAGTAAATCCCACTCGAAAGTAGGCTATGGGGAGGTTGAAATGTATGTAGACCAGAGCTCTGCACCCAAAGTTACGCATTTTGTTGAGTTTAAAAGTAATGAGCAATGTTCTAAAAGGCTTGCTGCAACAACCATTGTGGCTTAGAGCTTGTGTCTCACGCCACATTAAGCCTGTGGCACGCCATGGCCTAATGCACATTTTTTGTAACGTGATATTTGCTTTTTGTTACTATTTTAATGTCTTATTTGTTAGTTTTTAATATATAACATAAATTTAAATTGTTTAATGTTATCAACTTATTGAGTAATGTTAGTAAACATATGTTTATATAAATAATATTATATATGATATAGAGATTTGCCGCCATAAGTCAAGCTTTGAAAACGTCGTGGCTTTGCCGTGGCTCCTAAAGCTTGGTATTGCCGCCATGCCATGCCTCATGCCTTAGGAGCCATGGCGTTTTCAAAGCATGATGCCATGTCTCACGCCGTTTAGAATCTTTGTAATGTGAATATGGTTGTGTAGCAAGTGTGATGTTTATGCTTTTATCCATCATATTTTTTATTGTTGGAGATGTTTTCCATCCTTGGTATCCTTCAATCTAATAAGAACTGAAATAAAACTTCAGAGTTCATCACCTCTTAAAAAACAAACAGAACCTATCTAATGATCTTATTCAACATAATGTGATAGGTTAATAAGGGCAACTGGGACAACTTCAAGCGTCCTGCAAACGAGCAGGAGTATTCTAATGAGGTTTCGTATGATTCCCAAATTGAACCCTCTCAAAATGAACTTTCTGACCTTGGCCAAGCTTGCAACAAGCTCTGGGATCTTGACCATAACCGGTTAACACCTGGAAAAGACTACGAGATCGACTGTGGTGAAGGAAAGAAGTCTTACCAAAATCAAGATATGGCCGAAGGATGTCTCTTTACTTATCTAAATGATGAAGTTTTCAAGAAACCCACGATTTCCCGATTCTGTTCTCTTCTAGATAACTACAACCCACATGAAGGATATAAAGAGGAAGTCACATCTCAAGAGAAACAAGAACAAGCTGCATTCATTGAAGAGATTTGTAGAACTGCACCCATCAAATACCTCCATAAGTATCTATGTTTAAAGGGTATTGTATCCGAAGATCCTCAAGAATTCAAAAGGATGTTGACAAGTCTTTGGTTTGATCTGTACGGCCGAGGTGGTACATCGAGTTGTTCTTCGGCTTTTGAACATGTTTTTGTTGGAGAAATCAAGAGTCGCGGGGATCAGTCGGTTTCAGGCTTTCATAATTGGCTTCAGGTGCGTAGTTTTTGTTACGAAATTTTGACACTTTATTATATTAAGTAGAAACATTGAAATTTTATTATATTGGTCTAGAAAAAAAGTAAATTATGCTTTTCGTTCATATGGTTTGTTAAAACTTATGATTTTCGTCTTTGTAGTTTAGAAATTACAATTTTCGTCTCTATAATTTGCAATTCATTGCTATTTTCATCTCTGAGCCCTGATTGTTACCTTAAAAAGTACAAGGGACAAAGAAAGCAAAGACTTGTAAACCAACATGGACCAAACAACAATAAAATATAAATTATAAGCACGAAAATAGCAATAAATTACAAACCATTAGAATGAAATCACGATTTCTAAACCACAAGAACAAAAATCATAATTTTTTACAAATTACAGGGAAGAAAAACGTAATTTACTCAAAAAATCATTTTAGACTAAATTATGATTTTCGTCCATTGGTTTGTTAAAAATTGCAATTTAAAGGTAGGAATTATTTCAGGGACGAAGATAGTAATAAATTGCAAACCATAGAGACGAAAATCGAAACTACTAACAAACCACAGGAACGAAAATTGTAATTTACTCATTATTTTATTACACCATATAAACAAACTTCATTGCAGTTTGATGTATTTTTAGGTACTGTTTGTAAGAAATTCTTGTTTTGTGTATGTAGTTTTATATGGAAGAAGCAAAGGGTAATGTCGATTATCAAGGCTATATCTATCCACGAAGGCGTGGGCAGACGGTAAGTAGATCCACATCTATTTCTTCTTCATGATAAGTTCTGTTGGAGTCTCATATCAACTAAAAATAGCATCTTTGAATGCGTTTGGTACATGGGACAAGACAAAATTAAACTTAGTGTCCCACATGTGATGGGACATAGGACAGACAAAATTTTACCGACAATTATTAATTTTTTTTAATATTACTTGATTTGTGTCATTTATAACTATTATATAAATCACCAAACAATTTTTTTAGGGCCAACTTGTCCGGTCCTAATCGTAGCGAACACCAGACACAGTACAACTTGTTCAATCCAGTCATTTCCAGTCCCGCCCCTTTGTCCTATCCGGTCCAATCCTGTCTGCGTACCAACCATTGTCTTTTTCAATATATACTGGAACCTTCTTTATCTCATCAAAAGCTATTCTGAAAAATGATCTGATTGGGTTCAATATGTTCTGACGAAGAACATGAATCTAGACCATGTTACATTTGTATTAATGGTGTTGTTTGAAATGAAATGCAGCCCGACTCGGAGACACAGTTGCTGACTATCCAGTTCGAATGGAACGGTGTTTTGAAATCAGTGTCGAGCACATTGGTTGGAGTGAGCCCGGAATTTGAGATCGCTCTTTATACGTTGTGCTTTTACATGGGGAACGAAGATAATTATGTTGAACTTGGTCCATATAACGTCAACATCAAATGCTATCGTCTTGGCAACAAACTTGGGTCCGCTTTTCCGATCGCGGATTCTTGAATTTCGTGCTTTTTTATTCGTTATCCTGAGAAACCATGTAATCTGATATTTAAAACAATTGATGTACGATAACCTCATATGTTTTATATTTGTTATCATTTTGTGCACTATATATTTTTCAAGTACGTGAATGATATGTACGACTTGATATCATGTGAGAGCAGACTCTTTTCATGAGACCACATAAATAACAACGAAACTTTACAACAAAACACTATAAAGGTAAAACCTTCATAGTATTTTTGCTTTAAAGGTTTGGTGTTTTTTTACCTTCACAATATTTTGCTATAAAGTTTCAGTGTTATTTTATGATACTAAATATACTAAAAATTAACTTATTTTATATTTATTAACCTTTGTATTTTTTTTAAATAGTAATTAATAAGAGAATTTTATCAGATATTATTTATTTTATCCATGTACGGTTTTACGTGTCTGATAGAGGAAATATTCGGTCTCTTATAAGACAACATTTGTTCCCCTCCTCAACCGATGCAAGATCTTACAATCTACCCCTTCGGGAGCCCAACATCTTCACTGACACCGGTGTGTTTCCGGGATTTGATACCATCTGTAACATCCTAGACTAACCGTATCAGATCTAGATATTGTCTGCTTTGTCCACACCTAAACTCACAGTTAACGTGATGATATGATTGGCCTGAGATGTTACATATATAATATATGATACCAACTTTTATACCTTCAACGAAAAAGGTTGGAACTGTCTGAACATCAAGAGATGATCTTTTTGCAAACAGAATGAGCAAAAGTAACCATGGATGCATTAATTTGAAGTGTCATACCCTTACAGAAGAAGAGAGCAAGTATTCATTATTCATTAATGAATATGGGCAGTGATTTGCATCAAGCAACAAAGGAAACAAAGAAACTTGTGTGAATAATGCCTCCGATCGATCTTATAGAGCGCGATAAACGGCCATTCGGTTTCATATGAACTTGAAAGAGAAAGGGGTCCGAACCACGTACTTACCGTAAGCCCAAGCCATAGATCCTTCGGCGTAAGGAACGTTCATCTGCGCCTTACTATCCCGAATGAATGTTAGATCATATGCTACCTTTTGGTTCACCGCGGTAAATTTCAAAGCGGGACTGCGAATTTCGAGGATTATACCGGGTGGCAAATGCACATTCGTAACCGATATAGTGTAAGTCGACTTCGCCTCACCAACGTTGGTCACTGTCCTCGTGTATGTCTTGTTTTGGCCGCTTGCTAACGTAATCACATATGAAGGGTAGTTCAATTGTCCTTCGAGTATGGTTTCCGAGCATGAGACGGTTTTTTTGGCGATGATTCCAACTTGTTGGCTTGTATAACCCAACCCACACAAGTAAGGGATGTAGTCGTCTGGTTGTATATCGAAAACTAGCCCTGGATCATTGGCTTTCGATGGATTTACATGGCCCGAACCGATGGTAAAGACGTCGGCTGGGAGTTCACGTTCGTCCTCAATAGGACGACCGTTTAGGCTTACTTGATCCGCGGTGGTCATCATTGCTGATTTAATCGCAGCCGGTGACCAGTCCGGATGAGAAGCTTTCAGTAATGCCGCTATGCCTGCAAGATGTGGACATGACATTGAAGTGCCAGAGATCATGTTAAACGTTGTGCTCGTTTGTGTGTTGTTCTCAACGGAAACGGGCCATGCTGCAAGAACGCTAACACCGGGACCGATAATGTCGGGTTTCAAGATTCCGGGGCTTGCCAAGTTTGGTCCTCGTGACGAGAAAGAAGTCACTTCGGGAGCTGATTCTACGCCGATTACAGTCCCACGAAACATCAAAGTGGCTAATGGGGATGTCGTTGAGTTGATATACGCCTTGATTGCAACTCCGTCTTTATAACCTATATGCGATGCGGGAAGAACATGAGCATCGGCTATAGTACTCGATCCCTCGGTGGCTTCGTTCGCTAGAATCATGGCGACGCCTCCCGCGTCCTTTACCGTTTGTCCTTTCTCAATTCTTCCTACATCACCACCTCTATCACACACTACTACCTTTCCTTTCACGTCGACATCGTCCAACGATCCTTCCGCGCACCATGCGGTATTTCCAACACCGTTCGCTCCGGGGTACACCAACGGGAGAAGGGTTTTCGAGAAATCTTTAGGTTGGAATAGCGATTCGCCATCAAGCAAGGCTTTGTTTCCGAGAGAAACGGTTGAGCTTATTTTTCGATCCACGGTACTAGCCCCAACGGTGAGAATCCACGGAGCCTCGTTCGATAACGAAGAGTTGAAAGGACCCGAATTGCCCGCGGAACAAGCCACAAAGATCCCTTTCTGCATCGCGGTAAATGCACCTACCGCGATACCATCTTGATAGAACGGTAGCGACTCTCCACCAAGCGATAACGAAAGCACATCAACGCCATCTTCAACCGCGGCATCCATGCCGGCTAAGATCGCACTCTCCTCACAATCCTCCAACGTACACACTTTATACATCGCGACGTGAGCAAGCGGTGCCATCCCGACCGCAGTGCCGTTGGCGTTTCCGAATACATTTGCGTCATCGACAAAACTCCCGGCTGCCGTGCTGGAAGTGTGCGTACCATGTCCGTCTTCATCGAAATGCTCCTCGGAGATACCCGTAAGATTCCTCAACCCTATCAGCTTGTTATTGCATCCTGCAACATCACATTTCCCTTTCCATTTCGCCGGTGGAGGAAGGATCCCTTCATCGTTAAAAGAAGGATGAGCCGGAGTCGTTCCGGTATCCAAAACCCCGATGATGATCCCCTTTCCATAGTTTGAACCTGCCCAAAACCCTAAATTCTGGTGTAACCCTAAGAAGTTGGGAGTATGAGTAGTCTGTGTGGAATATTTTCTTTGTGGTCTTGCAGATATGAATCCTTCCATGGTTTCCATGGCTTTTGCTTGCTCTGCTGACATTTTGGCCGCAAATCCTGTAAGCACATTATGGTATGCGAAAACCATGGTTCGCTCATCGGTTAAACCGCCGGTGGTGGTTGACGGCAGAAACGACTGGTACCAGGTTTCGCGATCTTGTGATTGATCGAAGCCTTGACCCTTGGCGGAGTTTAAGTGGACAATGTAGGTTTCGAGTTCAGCAGCGGTGGCTGAATAGGAGTTTAAAATGGTGGTGAGAGTGAGAACGAACATAAAAGCCATTAATGGCGATATCTTGTATCTGTTGTTATCCATTGTTCTTGAAGAGTTGATATATTACAATATTTCCATACAAGAATGTATATATATAGGGGGAGGGGAGGAAGGTGGCAGATGGTGGCCGGCCGGCTAAACTCTGTGCATAAAAAATGAAGGAAAATGGCTGGTCAGAAGAATTCAAATCAAAATCCGAAGATTGCTGGATGGATTAAGTTGTATAGCTGGATTAATCTACCTGTATGTATATCTATACTATATTATAAACATTCGATAAAAACTCTTAAAAACCATTTTTATGTATAAATTACTGTTTATTAATGTATATTACTTAAAACTCAAGATTACAAGTAAATTGTGCGTAAGGGGGTGTTTGGGATTGCTTATAAAAGTTGTTTTTTAACTTATTTCAGTCTGGCACCGGTGATAAGTTGTTTTCTGGTGTTTGGATAAGAAGTAAAAAACTGTTTATACCGGTGCCAAACCAGTAATAAGTTGTTTTTGATAAGTTAATCATTCCTGACTTATGAAAAACTGCTTATTACCAGTTTACAATTTTAACCCTGTTTTATTTAACTCCGGTTTGATACCACATAAGTTAATAAGCACTTTTACRAAAAAAWATAAGTTGTTTTAAATAAGCAATCCCAAACACCCCCTAAGTACAACTTATTAAAACTACATGTTTTAATTCGTGTAACTAAATACGGATAAACATAATCAAATAGATGATAAATATCTCATTTTAAAATCTAAAAAATCTAAAATACAATTAAGATAATTATCGAGTTCTAACAAAATAATTAACTATTATCTTGATAAGAAAATTATATTACTAAACCAAATATAAATTATTTCGTTATTGAACTTAAATTAAATTCTAATTAAAAAATTTTGAATTAAAAAATTACACAAAAATGAGGAATTTTAAATAATTAATTTGATACTAATATCGATATAATTTTGTCAAATTTTTATGATATTTTCAGATTTATATTTTATTCAAAAATAAAAACATCACCGTTTTTTCAAAATCACATAAGACCATATTATAATATCGATTGAGATAAAAAATAAAATGAGATATTAAAATCAAGATGCATCTCGCTGCATTGTACGAGTACCCTTCTAGTAGATAATAAATGTTTTTATGTAAGAGGGTGTTTATGTTTGGAAAAAACTTGACTTCTTTGTAAAGGAATAAGACACTTAATTTCAAATATCATTAAGCCACTAAGACAGTCATTTATAAATAAGCTGTTGAATTGATTAAGCTCATTAATCTACTAACAAACACGTTCTAAATATCCTAACCAAACCATACGCATATTAGCCAAATACTGCCATCATGTTAAAAGACTAATACAAAGTTTTTATATCAGTATTGTCTTACAAAACATGTAACGTCGAAATGCATCATATCAACTTATCAGTACATTTAGACATATTTTACATCCTATAAAACCGATTTTGTTGCAGTATGCAATGACAAAATATATACGAGTTGCCGGATTCTAGTTCTAGAAACGTCGAAATGATAATCCAAAAAGCGATTACTTTTATGTAGGATTAATCGTCTGATTGGCCGGAAAGTACTACTTGTTTATTTCATTTTCAGTCGTTTTCATACCTTAAAACAGCAAAAGAATGTCACATTGCATTTGTTATTTCATATCTTTGAATTTGACCAATTCTCTATGAATCGAGAGTTCCTATTTATTTAACTGTATACATGTCTTAACCATTAAGACAAGAAAGATATCGAATGAAACGGTTGCAAATAAGCGAATATTTGATCGTATTTCATCGTAGATTGTTGATAGTTGATCGTAGATTAATTGTTTCAATGTCGAGAATTCGAAAAACGAGGTTGATAAGAACGAATGAGGGTCCGAAGGCATGGCTGAATGAAACACTTTCATCTTGATATTCAATGGTCACCATGGATGATCAGCAAAGAATTACGAGAACGCGAGAACATCCTTTTACTATAGACAATCACATGCGATACTATTATCACATCACATATGATAATTACTAATTCATGATCTGACATGTACAGAATGAAAACTTCATTCTCGATTCAACGAGAATTTTTAAGACGGTTTTGGATGAAACCGCGTAAAAAATGACCCGGCCATTTTTTATGTGGTTCAACCGATGTAAAAATGAAATCCCGCTTTCAACTTCAATCGAATGAAACTTAAAACCCTAAAGATGGCAACGATGACGAACCTTGCCAATAACTAGATCTGTTTCTCGGTCCATGCACCAGTAACGGGCAACCATCATGAAAAATAACAAAGTGTTCTATAAACTCGTTGTAACACTTTTACATAGAACACGTAATTGTTTCTCCTATAAATAACGTCGTGTTTCAAGATTCCGGAGCTTGCCAAGTTTGGTCCCCTTGACGAGAAAGAAGTCACCTCGGGAGCTGATTCTACTCCGATTACAGTCCCACGAAACGTCAAAGTGGCTAATGGTGACGTCGTTGAGTTGATATACGCCTTCATCGCAACTCCGTCAATGTTGTCCAATGATCCTTCCGCACACCATGTCGTATTTTGAACTCCGTTCGCTCCGGCGTACACCAACAGTAGAAAGGTTTTCGGGAAATCTTTAGGTTGGAATAGGGATTCGATCGCCGTCAAGCAAGTCCTTGTTTCCAAGAGAAACGGTTGCACTTATTTTTCGGTCCATGGTACTAGCCCCAACTGTGAGAATCCACGGAGCCTCATTCGATAACGAAGAGTTGAAATTAAGAACCCGAGTTACCCGCGGAATAAGCCACAAAGATCCCTTTTTCTATAGCGGTAAATGCGCCTATTGCGAGATTATCCTGATAAAATGGTAGAGATTCTAAGATAAGCGATATCGAGAGCACAACAATGCCGTCTTCAATCGCTGCATCCATGCCGGCTAAGACGACACTCTCGAAAGTATTTAAATGTTTTAATAGGTTGCTTTATAGGACATCAAGTTTACACGACCAAATGTTTGTGAATCATATCTAAAAGTTTTGTCATAAATTTATATGACGATTTTGGGCGTTTTACCAAGCTTTTCAGGACACTTTTTAAATGAAGTGTCATATTAATTTTTTTTATCTGACACATTTGAAAACTGTCTTAAAAACATATCGACCTTTTTACAAATAATATTATATAAAAGGGTTGATAGGACGCTTAGTTTCAAAATTGTCTTAAAAGTTTGTTAAGACGTCAAAAAACGTCATATAAGTTTATAACAACATTTTTAGACACGACACACGTAGGGTTTACCAAAAGGCCTTTGACCTAGCGGTATCGTAGCCTTTCGCCTCCTAGGATGTCAGGGGTTCATACTTCACCATAGGTGAAGAGGGTGAGTGAGTTTATTTGTTGCATTTGTCGTATATTAAATATTATATATATATATATATATAATTAAAAGACAAGTTAATTAAGTCATGATATGCAACCATACTAATGAATTAAGACAGACTTCATGTTAACTGAATACATATAGACTATCTTCAAAGCGATACAACATTTGAACAAACAACCATTTCAAGAAAATCATATAATTAAAACGATATCGTAAAATTAAACACGAGACGTATCAAATTCAAACTAAGAGCAACAAAAGACTGCCGAACAATATAGCCACAAAGCGATAACACGTTGGTGTTGCCAATTTGTTAGATGTTGATGTTGCCATTGGGCTTGGAGCCGGAACCATCGTTTGTGGTAGAACCGTGATGACCAGTTTCATGTTTTTTGACTCGCAATGCTTTCCAACACCACAAATGTACCATTTCCTCCCTGCGGTTTGAAGGGGAACAACGTCTCGTCCACTTGTCAAGGTTCCAATGGCCGGTGAAACGATACATTGTTGGAAACCGGTCCCGTTTACTTTCACCACTGTATGGGCGCCAGACGCATAATTGAATACTGCATCAAGAAAATCAGTAAGCATGGTTTAGAAGTGGGAAATTTAGAAAATATGTTAAAAAGACGAACTCATTTGTGAAACTGTAAGAACACATTTGGTTTGACGGAATTGTTCTTTGATGAATTTGGATTTCATGGAAGAATTTAGAACTGGAATCTTTAGTGTGTTTAGTTTGTAGGATTTCGAACAGAATCGAATTCCATTCTTTATAACACATTTGGTGAGTTTTGAATATCTAAAATCCAATATTTACATTTATATATGGTAATTAGAACAAAAAAAACTCACACACTCTCCTCACATTTGGTGAGTTTTGAACTCTTGACCTCTTAAAAAGTCAAAGACTCACATAAGGCTAGAACAAATGTCTTTTGATTTAATAATAGAATGTTGATGTGTTATACATGACAAATACATTTACGTGGCAATATCATGACACTACAACAAAATCGGTTTTATAGGACACTACCAAATTCTAAGTGCCCTAATAAACCTCTTTATAGGACTTAGTTTATAGGACCAAAAAAATAAAGTGTCTTATCTAAAGGTGTTGTAATAAGTTTATATGACGTTTTTTGACGTCGTAATAAGTTTTTTTAGGACACTTTTAATATAAAGCGTCACATTATCAACTTTATAGGACATTTTTAATATAAAGCGTCCCATTATGAACTTTATAGGACACTTTTGAGAAAGTCTCCTATAAACTCAATTTTTTATAGGACATTTGTTTTTATAGAACAATTTTTCAAATAGTGTCCTATAAAGTTAATAATGGAACGCTTTATATTAAAAATGTCCTAAAAAAAACTTATTATGACATCAAAAAATGTCATATAAACTTATTACAACACCTTTAGATATGACACTTTATTTTTTTGAACCTATAAGCTAAGTCCTATAAAAATACCGATTTTGTTGTAGTGTGAACTCATGCAGTGTTTCGTTACTGTGGAATGTGGATGCTCTAAGTATACATAATATAGCGTACCAAGTGTATCTCCAACGAAGAAAACTTTATCCTTGGCCCAAGTTTGGTAATCAAAATCGAGAGTCCAACCACTTTCGTCCCCGACAATGTATTCCTTGGCGGAGATTGAACTTGCGAGAACACCCAATGTTGCAATGACGACGATGATCAAATGGGAAGTTGTCATTTTAGAAATACTTTCGAGATTCTTGATCGATCGATCGATCGATATTTTTCTTTCGAAAACCCCTAAAATATGACTTGAACGTTGGTTGATAATAAAAGCTACAAGATTGTTGGGAATTTATACATAGAGTTTTTAGGGAACCGGCAATGGACGGCCATGGTATCGTGGATTTGGTCTTAATTGTATGTGTTTGTTTTCCACATTAATTAATTATAAACAAAAGTGGGTTAAGAAAAAATGTAAAAGCGTCGACTCTATGGAAGTGCGATGTGTCTGAAAACTCGGGATCGTGTTTATATTTATGACGTCCCGTGGAATACCGTAAATCACGATTTGGAGAATATTGACATCAGATGAAAGCAACGTTATTAAATCAAGACTTTCATTCTATATATGTATATGTAAGTGATATAATAGATATTTAAACAATATTTGTTATTATAAGTACTGCAGTAATCACAATTCTTGTTAAGAAAAAAAAATGGATCATTTGTGTTCGTTTTGTACAAATTTTTTACTAATTGGTTGGTTTTGATTTCAATTGGGGTTATAGATTTCAAAGCTTCAACATGTTTTTATATATTCATCATCTTCTTTTAAACTATCATCTTTCTACCAATGTGAGATCTTCAAAGTCAACCTTATTTCAAATATGATGAACATTCAAACCTCGTGTTGTCAAGTTATCATCTTTGATTTCATTTTTATATTTTCAGAATAATTTTTACCATTTGGTTGGTTTCGACGCAAACCATGATTATAGATTTCAAAGAGCATCATCCAAAATAAGACTACCCTATGAGGCAAACTACATGATTTGACACAAAAACATCCAATCCATCTTTCAACTTTTGACCAATGTGAGACAACTAAAACTCAACCACAATTCACCATTTGAGAATACTTAATTCTCATGGTGCCACCTCAATACCCCAAGGTTTTCCTTTTATATATATAAAGATAAAGATTATACACTACAACAAAAATTATTTTATAGAACGTTCAAAATGTATAAACATCTTAAAAAATACTTTATAGAACTTAAATTTATAGGACAAAAAAAAAAGATCATATCGAAAAGTGTTACAAGAGGTTTAACGTTTTAACAAGTTTTTAATATGAAACTTTTAAAATAAAGTGTTGTATTAACTATTTTACACGACAGTTTTTAAAAGTGTCATATAAACACAAGTGTCATATAAAAATATGGGTTTAAAGGATTATAGAACACTTATCAAAAGTGTCATATAAAATAACTAATATTTTAAAATAGTTCTAAAAAATTGTTGAAACGTCCAACAGATTATTCAGAATGAAGATTTCAATTACAGGGATAATCTCCAACAGGTTATCCAGAATGAAGATTTTGGTATTTTTGTTTCAACAGATTCTCCAAAATGGAGAAAGAGGAGAGGGGACAAAATTTTACCAATTTAGAGAACTCTCCAAAAGGGGAATGCTATTTGCACCTCATTTAATGTCAGAATCAAGTTATTTTACACATCGGGAATGTAAAAAGCATGTATTGATGTTGATGTGTGTGAGAAAGAAATTCATGGGTAGGGGAAATGATTGCCAAAAACCAGCCCTGGCCTCAACAGTGCCAGTCATAACTGGTCGCGGTCGAAAATACTAAGCATGGTTAAGCATTCCTATAACGGTTATGGTTAGCCGGTCCCGGTCCCGACCAAAAAATTGATTTTTTTATTTTTTTGATATATTTTTTAATACATTATAAAATTTGTAATTAAGTCACTCAAATACGTTTTATTATAACTAAAACCGAGAATTATAAACGTTTTTTTGCGTTCTGTAATTTGGTATATAAATCTTTCAACCATGACACTTATATATAGGGTTTAAAAGGCAAAAAGGACCAAAAAACGGTCATAAACAGTCATATAACGGCTATATTAAAAAAACAGCTACCTTTTTAAAAACTGGGCAGCGGGCCGGTCCCCTAATCGGTCCCTCGAAACCCTCCAAAACCATAACCGGTCCCGGTCGGCGGTCTTATAATTGGTCCTTATCGGTCCCGGGTCGGGCTGGTCCTTTGCCGGTCCCGGGCCGGACCAGGCCGGTTTGGCCATCACTAGTATAGACTTAGATATCGATTTTAAATTGAGTAAATTGCGTTTTTTGTTGCTATAGTTTATTGAAAGTTGTTATTTTTGTCCTTGTGTTTTTAAAATTATGATTTACAATTCATTGTTTTTTCATCTTTATATGATTTACAATTTATTGTTGTTTTCATCCCTGTGGTATACAATTATTTTATATTTTCGTCTCTCATACTTAAAGGTAAGAGTTAGTCTTAGAGACAAAAATAACAACGAAATTATAGGCCATAAGGGCAAAATCGTAATTTTAGAGTTTCTGGATCTAGGTCTGGGTTTTACAAAGAACACCCAAGTTTTTTTTAGCTCTAATCAGTTTTTTTCTTTTAGTTTTCGGCTTATTCGGACTTCATTGGGCGCTTTCAATCTTAACCGTGCCTTCAATCTTAACCGTGCCTTTTCAGGCTTTTCCAAGTAAGACCTGCCCTATGGGCTGCTCGAACTTTGAGTCATGGTCTATGCTTCAGACTCACGAGACTGATGCTTTTCGGGCTCGACCTGAGCTAAGCTTCGGGTTTTGGGATTTTTCATACAACTCGAATATCCACCATGCTTTTATCTTCCGACATCTGATTAACCATACAAAACCCTTAAAACACTCACTTTCTTGCAAAAGAAAATAGCAACGAGAACCAATAAACTCGATTCTAATGTCCATCTCCCAATAAAAAACGAACGTTTGTCAGCTTCATATAAAAACGGATTTCGAATAAATTCGATACGACGATAAAAGAATCTCGTTTTTTTATTTATAATAATTAATTAATGAGGAAATAAAACACATACAAAGTAGGACCAAATCCACATTAATGCCATGGCCGTCCATAGCCGGTTCCCTACATTCATTCACTCCAAAACTCATGTATAAATTGCCAGCAATCTTGTACCATTTATCATCTACCAATTTCTAAGTCGGGTTTCGAAAGAAATATCGATCGATCAAGAATCTCGAAAGTATTTTTGAAATGGCGACGACTCATTTGATCATCGTTTTCATTGCAACACTCGGTGTTCTCGCAAGTGCAATCTCTGCCAAGGAATACATTGTTGGGGATGAAAGCGGTTGGACTCTCGGTTTCGACTATCAAAGTTGGGCCAAGGATAAAGTTTTCTTCGTTGGAGATACACTCGGTACTTTATATTATAATCAGAGCATCCACACTGATAAAACATTGTGTCGTTTCGTATACTGTCATACAATTATAATAGTCGTGTGACATCAGCATTCTATGAACTCATTTATTAAATGAGTCCCACTGTTTAACAGCTTTTTCTAATCTTAAAACCATGCTTATACAACGAGTTTATTGATTTTCTTGATTCAGTGTTCAATTATGCGTCTGGCACACATACAGTGGTGAAAGTAAACGGGACTGGTTTCCAACAATGTATCGTCTCACCAGCCATTGGAACCTTGACAAGTGGACAAGACGTTGTTCCCCTTCAAACCCCTGGAAGGAAATGGTACATTTGTGGTGTTGGAAAACATTGCGAGTCAAAAAACATGAAACTGGTCATCACGGTTTTGCCACTGACGATGGCTCCGGCTCCAAGCCCAATGGCAACATCGGCATCTAGCAAATTGGTGATATCAACATTCTATGGCTCTGCAGCTGCATTGTTCGGCAGTCTTTTATTGCTCTTTCTTTGAATATAATATGCCTCGTGTTTAATTTTACAATATGGTTTATATGATTTTCTCATGAAATGTTTGTTTGTATTGGTTAAGATAGTTTATGTACTCAAATTAAGCTATTTTTTTTATTACTATTGTTCTATATATACCATCTTTTGGTAACTGGTCTCTTAGGGGACGTTTGGTTCGTAGAATGGAATTGGAATTCATCAAATGAATTTGACTTTGAGGGAATTAAATGGAATTTGACCATGTCTTTTGATTGCGTTTGGTTGGATGGAATTGGAAGGGAATTCTTAACGGAATTGGAACTTTTTTGTTTCGGAGACGGGGATACCAATAACCGGTCCGAACCTGACTCTTTGTCATTCTTAGTTTTAAACGAGATCGAGCAAAGGAGATCGAGCATAGCAGAGCAGAGCAAATCGAGATACAACGTCGATGAATTTGGATGAGGGCTAAGGAATTTGTTGGATTGGAATTTGAAATCCGTGGTATATGCAGTGGAATTGTGAAATCAATGACTTATAGGAATTTGTTGGAATTGGAAGGATTCCTTCACATCCATTTATGTGAACCAAACATGGTATTTGGAATTTGGTCAAACATTTGGGCATTCCAATTCCTTCCTATTCCACCAAATTCCATGAACCAAACACCTTAGAGTTTCTCCAACAGATTCTCCAAAATGGAGAATTAAAAGTGAAAATCTTAAAAAAAATTGTTCATCTCTAGTCTAGAAGATATTACCAAAAGGCTTTTAGCTTAGCGGTATCTGAGTCTCTTTCCTCCTAGGAGGTTAGGGGTTCAAACTTCACCAATAGTGAGGAGAGTGTGTGAGTTTTTTTGTTGCATTTTCCATATATAAATTATATTATATACTTCAAAAAAAACATTAAATGATATTTTCTTCGTCCCAAGATAAACGTTTATATATTTATTTTTATTTCTTTCTCAAAATAAATATCAAAATTTTTAAAAGTTAGTGTGAATTTTCCAATTCTACCGTTAATTAAAATATAGATAAATTCATTATTCCTTTTCTAGAAATTCGATATTTCTTTCAATAAGTAGTTATTTTTAGTATCATAATTATCGAATACAATAGTAACGTGAACAATATATGAATATTTATATATGGTAAGCTAAAAAATACATCGAAAGTGTGAAACGATGGTCGAGAATCGCTTTAAACCCTAAGTCGTAGACCATCAGTGTTGCCCAATCGGCTAGCTATCAACTCCATGGACTCGGAGAAGGCGAATTGAAGCCGCCTATCGAGGTGATACCTCGATCTCAAGCTTCATATTTTGTTTACAATGATTTGCGATTCCACAAATATACCATCTTTTCCCTGGGGTCGTCAAGATAATCGAATCGCGTCCGCTGGTTAGAGCTTGTCTAGGATCCGGAATAGTACATTGTTGGAAGGCTGGTCCCTCGACCAGGAATACGTTATGTTGCCGGATCGTGTATTTAAAAACTACATTGAGATTAATATGGTTAATAAAGATAGACAACCGTAAACTAGTTTATTTTTTGAGCTTAAAAAGAAAAAAAAAACCTTGATAAGCCAGCTTTTTGAAAAGCTACTTCAAGCAGCGTTTTAATAAGCTTCGGTATTTTTTTTCTACTTTTTCCCAATTATACCCTCGTATATTTTTTCAATTAGTTTTTCAGCATATAATTTTAGGTCATTTTACATTGTCAGATATCTTATTGGCTAAATTTACCAAAACATGATTAGTTTATCAGCTAACAGTTAGTTCATGAACCAATAGTTAGATCATAGATGGTTGATAATTTTAACATACCGAGGACGTCTCCTATGACAAACTTTTTTCCTTTCGCCCAAGCTTTATAATCGTAGTTCAAAGTCCAACCGCGATCATCTCCAACCATGTATGTCTTGCCCACCGGCGCATAGGAAGGTACGAGTACGGGTGCAGTTGTCGGTGCTTGGGTTGGTTGAGGCGACACGTCGATCACAAGCTTCATACCGCCCGTTTCACACTGCTTTCTGATACCAGAAATGTACCATTTCCTTCCCGGGGTTGTAAGATTTACCACATCGTATCCGGTCGCCAACGATTTGGCGCCCAATGGCACAACACATCGTTGGAAACCAGTTTCATCGACTTCGAAGACGTTATGTTTCCCGATTGGGTACTTGAAAACTAGAAGCAAATTAATTAGAAAAATGTACTATTCTTGATTCCTCGTTCAAGAAACACTACAACAACATCGGCATTCTATAAGACGCCATAAATGTCTAAATGTTATAATAGACTACTTTATAAGACAATTAGGTTTATATGACAATTCTGGGCGTTTTAACAAGTTTTTTAGAACGTTTTTAAAATAAGTGTCGTATTAGCTATTGTATAAGACAATTTTAAAAGTGTCGTACAAACTCGTCTTTTCATTGAACACTTTTGTTTATATGACACATTCACATAGTGTCATATAAAATACCTAATACGACATTTTATTTTAAAAACGTTCTTAAAAACTTATTTAAACGCCTAAAAGCATCCTATAAACCTATTGTAACACTTTTAGATAGAAGGTTTTATAGTTTGATCCTATAAACTCAAGTTTTATAAACTATTTTATTATGATTCTTAGACATTCTATTCGTTGTATAAAGCCAATTTTTTTTTGTAGCGAAAGTTGAATCTGTTGTAATAAGATGAGGGATTACGATACCGATTTGGTCTCCGATGACGAATTTCGTGCTTTCGGCCCAAGATTGGTAATCGAAGTTGAGAGACCAGCCATTGTCGTCTCCAACAATGAATTGTTTAGCAGAAGCTGAAGTAGCAATGAATATAAGGATAATGGTTAGGTTGTTAATCGCCATTGTTGTAAATCGAGTAATTAAGATGATTTACTTGAGGCGTATTTATAGTATTATATTGTTGCAACTTCGGGAAAATCATCTTTCTAAGAGCCGTGAAAAAACAGATCAAATAATATATATATATATATATATATATTAATTGTATATCCGTGCAATGCTGCGGGAGCCGTGAATTTTAACGATTTTGAAGTTTCATTGATTTTATTAGAGAAGATTTAACGATAATATAAGTTAAATTTGGTCTTTACATATTAATACAATTTGAATAAATAAGAGTTATGGTTCCAAATACAGTCTATCGATAAAAAAATTGTATAACAGTTTAAAATCCAATATATTTAAACAACTCCACAAATGTGTTCGATTTACACCAAGAGCAAAGAATCAAGAGATCGAGAACAAGACCGAGAGTTCTAGAGCAATTCAATGAGAGATGAATGAGAGAACTTTTAATAACTCATGGTGAATATAGTTTGAATCTCACTTGGGGGATGGGAGAAGACATAGAGGTATGAGAGGGTGAAGGTATGAGTGAAAGGTGTTAAAAGTATCTTGCGAACATGAAAAGAAAATGTAATTATGTGTATTGATAACTTGATTCATAACTTGTTGTACTATATGTTAATTTAATTGTAGATTAAAAGATTTTAGACTGAATGCATAAAGTAGTAGTACTTAATGCATTATGAGTTGTTTTTAAGACTTTGTGCATTAAAAATTGTTTTTAAAACTTTTAATAAATATGGTTTATAAGGTAGTATAGATATATATATATATATATATATATATATACATACATACTTGAGATCATGTGAGACAAGGTTGTTTTCGTGAAATATGTGAGACAAGTTTTTTTCACTTGAAATTTCACAGCAAAACGTTGTGAATGTAACATTCATAGTGTTTTGCTGTGAAAGTTCGACTTCTTTTACCTTCACAGCATTTTGCTGTAAAGTTTCAAGTGTAAAAAACTTGTCTCACATGTCTCACGAAAACAACTTTGTTATTTTGAATGATTAAATCCTTAAATTATTAAACTTTGTCATTTTGAATAATTAATCACCAAACTATTTTTCTAATGGAAAAATCATTAAATTTTCTAATTTTGAATGATTAAATCCCTAAACAACTTTTTTCAACAAAATAAACTATCAAACTTTTAAAATTTAATTATTTATATCATTTTAACCTAAAAAAAACTTTTATTTTATAAATAATATTATATATTTATAAATAAAAAAACAAGTACAGTTCTAGTTTTAACTAAATAAACAATATTTTATATTTTATATTTTAAAAATTAAAACATAAATCATTCTGAACACCTGACCTTTTGTTGTTGATTTGAAGGGGAGTGATATCGTTGTTATGAAAACAAAATATGTGTGACCGAAAGTTTTGCCATTTTTTTGCTCTTTTCGGGCCTATCATTTCATGCTCGTTACGTATATCTGTCTCAAAATTTCACGTCTTGTTTTACTGTCATTCACATAAATACATATGATTATAAAGAGGGTATGATTTTGAATTAAAATAAATTTAAAATATATAAAAATTACGTATCTTAATTTCATTGATTGGACATAAATAATACACGAGATTGTAAGACAGTAGATTGTTTTCGATGCATTTCCACTCATAAATTTCCCAACCATCTAGATATGAGTGTTAACAGTTCTAGCTTTTTAGTAGGGGTGTTTAAAAAACCGTTGAACCCTTCAAACAGGTCAAACGGAACCGTTTCTGACAGTTTGAGCGGTCTGGCGATCCGGTCTAGTCTGAAAAATAGTCAAGTTGCTTGGTTCAATCTGGTCTGGAATTTGAACGCTTTTTGAGTAGGATGGACCAAACTGACCGTCAAAAATACACATATTAATTATATTTAAACCGTCCTTCGACTTCCTCAACGTTCTCCAAACTTTCGACTATTGTTAGTGGATTTGTATAACTTTTTTTCAACTTACTCCACGTTTTTTTAGTTTTAGAGATAGACTTATCTTTTCTAATCTGATATCTTATTTTTTTAGTAATGTTATATCAGTAGAAATTTCATTTTGAATATAGATGTTATGTTTTTTCTAAGTTTAAAGCCTATAAGAGGCCCAAACCGCATAAACCGATCAGACCAGACCGCTTTTTGTGGTCCAGTTTGACTAGTTTGGTAACATGCTATCAAACCGCTCGGTTTGGAGAATTTTCTAAACCACCATTACAGTATAGATTGTGGTTCGAGGGGTTAAAATGACTTAAGAAGTGAATTGTCTTAGTTAACAGATGTTTTTCTTAAAAAAGTGTTTAATAAAACCTTTTTCAAGAAATATCAGATAAAAATGTTGATATGATGACTCTGAAGTTTTATTAGTTTGTACAACGTCATCAAACAACTTCTTGTTTCACACGAATAGAATTAACGTATAATTATTGGTCTTGTAGACTTAAAACTCTCATCGAGCACTCACTTAGAAGTTTAGAATAGTGACTTTTGAAGACTAAGGGTGACGTTTGTTTTTTAAGAAGTGATGAAGTCTGAAGTCTTATTTCGCTTCTGATTGGTAAGAGGTGGTGCAGAAGTCTGAAATCTAAATCATTAAGACTGTTTGTTTTTGTAATATGATAAATGTCTGAATTTGTTTAAATTATTTGTTTTATCCGTTAGAAAATTAAAGTGTTGAATTTATAGATAAATTTATACAATTTCATATATTTATTCATCATCGTTACGAAATTTATATCTAAATTATATAATTAGTATTTATGTAAACAAGATATGCCATTAACAATATTTAATACATGTAAATCCATTAAAATATGTCAATTGAGAGAGGTGAGGATCAAGGTAAGGATCGATTAACGTTTAATTGATTGAGAAATGTCGTTGCTAAGGGTTTGGAGATACATCAGGGGTTGATTTACCTTTTACCAGATAAGAGAACAATAAGGCATAAGTGTCTCTGAAGAATTGAAAAAAAAAACATACAGTCTGAATAGCCCTACCTCTTAAAAAATCAGACATAAGAGACCTAAGAGCATCTCCAATAAATTCTCCAAAATGGAAATGATAGAAGGCGAAGGGTGAAATTTCTTCAATTTTAAAGAATCTTTAAAATTAAATGTATAAGATAGAAAAATAATATTTTATGAAATATACTGATTTTAATCAATATAATTCATGTTGTAATCTCAACAACGAAGAAACTGTTGGAGATGAATATAAATTTTATTTGGAGATTTTGACTTCTGATTCTTTATTTTGGAGAATCTGTTGAAAACGCTATAAGGGTCCGTTTACCGAACTTTTACAGGATAAGTGCTACCTGGCTTCACTTCCCTTATTTGGTAAACATGCCAATGTCACCATACCTCGTCTCATTATTATCCCTACACACGGAAATACAAAACACTGAAAACATTCAAGGTTCTGTTCGGTTCATGCTGAGGAATGAAAATGGGAATGAATTTTCATTCTCTCCAATTTAACCAGAAATGAATTTTGAGTTTCTGGGGGGAATGAGCTCATTATATTATAAAAAACCAAATCAAACAATTTCTTTTATTTTCATTCTCATTGATTACTGTTTAATACCTTAAACCAAACACCTCCTCACTTTCTAAAAGAAAATAACAAAAAAAACGACAGTCTAAAAAAATGATTGTTTTATTCAGTTCATATAAAAGAAACCGTTCACAGAAATCTCGTAAATTAACGAGATCGAAAATGTTAATACCACATAGTTTCATAACTTGTGGGGGAATTCAATATGACCAAATTCACAATGCGATTTGCCGTCCGCGGACGGTTCCGTACTATGCATTTTCTACATTATAAACTACTCAACAATCTTGTAGCTTTTATCTCATCTTCTCAATTAACCAACCAAATTATAACCCCTTTTTTAAACCTTTTTTTACAAAATAATATCGATTAGAAACCTCGAAAATATTCAAGAATGGTCGCACCCCATTTGACCATTGTCTTCATCTCGACGATTCTTGTTCTTGCAACTTCGATTTCCGCTAAGGACTACGTTGTTGGTGATGGAAGTGGTTGGACTCTCGACTTCGATTATCAAACTTGGGCTAAGGATAAAGTCTTTTTCGTTGGAGATAACTTGGGTACGTTACACGTTTATAAATATAACTAGATTTAGTTTGTTTAATAATCCATCCGTCAAAAAATAAGTGTCAACGTTTTTTGGTTTGTCGTAAAATAAGAGGTGATTTACCAGACGTTTATTCCGGTAAATGGTTGTCAGGTCATATTATTCTACTGATTACATGGTAAGGATCAAGAATTTTACATGGTAAGAGCAATGACAAAGATTGAGTCTTACCGTGTAAGTAAGAGTGACGACTTTTACTTGGTTAGCGGTTACTTGGTCAGTTGTTGCGTATGATGTCATTTTGATGGACTAAAATGTTACCCGGTAAGGTAAGTGGTAGTGCTGAATCTTACCAGTAAACTAACGAAAATTTTAATGATTTTCTTTTGCGCAGTATTTAATTATGCGTCTGGTTCCCACAATGTGGTGAAAGTGAACGGGACCGGTTTCCAACAATGTGTCGTTTCATCTGGCAATGAAGTTTTGAGAAGTGGACGAGACGTCATCCCCCTTAAAACCCCAGGAAGGAAATGGTATATTTGTGGTGTCGGAAAGCATTGTGAGTCAAGAAACATGAAACTTGTCATCACAGTTCTATCGGATGCAAAGAACTCGGTTCCAATCCCAATAGCAACATCAGCATCAACCAAACTGGCAGCCTATAGCCTTATAACTGCATTCTTCAGCAGCCTTTTGCTATTATTCATTTAAAATGTAACATTGATTTTTTGTTAAAATGTCAGTATCAGTTCGAAAATAAATTATATGAATTATTTGTTGATTAGTATGGATTGATATAAATCGAGTTTACTTGTATTCATATGTGAATTTATTTTTGCGTAAATTACGCTTTTTGTTCTTGTGGTTCGTTAAAAGTTGGCGATTTTTGTCCCTATGGTTTAAAAATTGTGGTTTTCATCCATATAGTTTGTAAATCGTTGATGTTTTTGTCCTTATGATTTACAATTGTTATTTTGGTCCCTATTTTTTATAATTCCTACTATTTTGATCCCTTGTACTTAAAAATAAGGATTATTCCAGAGACGAAAAAATAGCAATATAAATTGCAAATCAAGGAATGAAAATCGTAATTTCTAAATCACATGGATAAAAACCGAAATTATTGACAAAGCACGGGGATGAAAATCGTAATTTACTCTTATTTTTTAAGACATATTTGGGTCACATTCACTTTACACCTCAAAGTCTAATGATTTACACTTCGGCACAATCCTTAATATTTGTTTTTTTTATTAACCTGGATATCCAACTTGCTATGCGAGCCGACTAATCACAGAACGACCATCTGCTTTGCGGGTTGCCCGGAGTCACCGCATTTGAACCTCCGTGGCCACAAGGGGATTTTTATTCCTCCTTAGATTTGAACATGAGACCTCTAGGTACTCTTGACCTTTGAAGCTCAAGCCCAAACTAATCAGGCACCATCCTTGTGGTTTAATCTTTGTTTTGATTTAACCATGTAATGAAAAGTACAGAAATTGACCCATATGCATCATCAACTTGTATCGTACAAATTGTGATGCACATCAAAGTAATTTGGGGAAAATGCGAGAACTCGGTTCGATAACAAAAGTTTATGTTGTGCCATGCACTGTGATACATTGATTACGGGAACAAGAAGTTACTAACCACATATTGGGTACCATAGACACGCTATTGTGTTACATATGACAATTGACATGACACTATCTGTGACAGTGTGATCAGTTCACTACGTCTCCTCTTAGGGTGTGCTGAAAGTCATCCGATCCAATATCAACCGACTGATCCAATTAGAACCGACCGACCACCATCAGATATCCAATTGCAATTGGATTGAGTCAGATCCAAATTTTCAACATTCAAATCGGATAAGTCGGTTCTTGGATGACAGTTCAACATCCAATAAAACTGAACCTATCTAATACAATGACCATCTAATTCCCCATCTAATTATCATCCAATTAATAACTATATATAATTATTAATATTTTACGATTTTGTTTTTAATTGATATTTATATACATTGCTTTTTAATAACTTAAAAAAATATACGAGTATTGGATCGAATGATTGAATGAATCAAATATGATCCAATAGATAACCAATAGTAACATCCAATGGATGGAACTGATCATATATATATATATAGAGAGAGAGAGAGAGAGAGAGAGAGGGGGGGGGGATAACTGATCAAAATCTAGTCAATGTAAGATTCTAACAAAAACACTTTCACACGAAAACCGAACGAATCAAAGACGTTGATATCGTGAAATCCGAAAAAAATTATTTTTTATTTTTTTATAATTAATGTGGAAATCAAATAAATTATAATTGGGACCAAATCCTGGCCGTCCAAAGCCGGTTTCCTATTTTCCAATTGAAGCATTAATTCACTCCAAAATTCATGTATAAATAGCCAATAATCTTGTAGCTTTTATATCATCTAAAAATATATCGATTTAAAAGCTCGAAAAATATTTCTCGAATGGCCGCATCCCGTTTGATCATCGTGACACTTGTTGTTCTTGCAAGTTCGATCTCCGCTAAGGAATATATCGTTGGGGATGAAAGTGGTTGGACTCTCGATTTCGATTATCAAACATGGGCCAAAGATAAAGCTTTCTTCGTTGGAGATAAACTCGGTACGTTATATTCCTACAAATATGATTATGTTTAAATTAATATTCCCTCCGTCCCAAATTAAGTGTCCACATTTCTATTTTAGTTTATCCCAAAATAAGTGTCCATTTTGTGTGTCATTTTGATTGTAAACATTACATATACATAAAATTGTGTGTCATTTTGATTGCAAACATTTGTTTTGGGACGGAGGAAGTATCAGTGTTCATGTATACTTCAATGCTTATAGATTGAATAATCTTTACTGATTTTCTTGATGCAGTATTCAATTATGCATCTGGTACCCACAATGTAATGAAAGTTAACGGCACTGGGTTCCAACAATGTATCGTTTCATCTGCTAATGGAACGTTGACAAGTGGACGAGACATCATCCCTCTTCAAACCCCAGGAAGGAAATGGTATATTTGTGGTGTCGCAAAGCATTGCGAGTTGAAAAACATGAAACTCGTCATCACTGTTCTACCGCAAACAATGGCGCCAACTCCAAGCTCGATGGCAAAATATACTTCGAGCGGGTTGCAATTGGCAATACCAACACTTTATGGCTACGTAGTTGCTTTGTTCGGCAGTCTTTTGTTTTTATTGGCTTGAAACTCGATTTGTTTTTTTCAATTTTCTGATGTTTGTTATTTGATCGGCATGTTTATTTATTCAAATATTGTATCCATTTAAAAGTAATATTTATACTGGATATAAATTGTTTTCTTGATTAGTATCTGTCAATAATACTTTTTTGTAATATATAATATTTATATACGATAAATATACTACATATAATCCTCATCTTTATTTATCCTTTATATAATTTTAACATCCATTCTTTTCTTTACTTATTTTAATTGTGGATATCAAACCAGCTCACGCACACCTCAATAAATCTGAGTGGTCCTGGAAATCAGCCAGGAGAATCTCTGGTAATCTTACAAGACTCAATTATGAAAAATTATGAGTTTTTTTGGATTTATAATCAAATATATAAAATATTATTTGATTCGAATAAAACACAGAAGAAATAGTTGATATATTAAAAGAGACTGGTTAGGCACTTAGGCTGGTTACAGTCGGTCCTGGTCTTTTTTCTCCTGGAAACCAGTGCAATTACGAAAGGGCCGTTAAAGCATGTTGAAGTGGAGGATGGGAATTGGGAACGTTATGTGGACCAACCAGTTAACCAATTTTGCCCAAAACCTACTTGCCGCTAGGACATGATTTACCTCCCATATAATGGGCGTGAGACTCTATCAACCAGAGATGCACAAGGCTCGTGCTTTTTTTTAGACTTGGGCCGGGCCTTTCAAGCCTATTTTGACTTTTGAGTGAGCAAAAAGAGCCTCTTTTTAGGCCCAAACTCATAACTGGGTTTTTCCGGACTTTTTCAAGTTGGGTTTTTTTAAGCTGGACCTGGCCCAGACCAGACTTCAGATTCACTAGGGCCAGGCTTTTCGAGCTAGGTTTGGGGGGTTTTTGTGCATTTCTAATATTAATATTAGTGAGGTGTTACTGTGGTTGAAAAAGAGACTAATCGGGCTTAACCGAGCTTTTCCAGACTTTTTCAAGTTGCGTTTTTGCAGGCCGGACCTGGCCCGAAATTTTGGCCTGGCCCGAACCAGACTTCAGGCTCACTAGTCCTGGGCTTTTTTGTACATCTCTAACATCAGTAAGGGTGTTTCAGTCTTCCGGACAGTGACATCATACCTTTTTTACATAATGCTTATAACTATATACGACCCATAGCCTGGGTTTAATTATCGCCTACGATCGGTCTAACCAATCTTTTCTCGATTCCGATTAGAATTTCAAAACCACACAATACAAAAAAAAAAAAAAATGAATCAATAGAAGAATAAGAAAAGGTGTCAAGCCATTTGAATCAATTATATACAGTTTCTAAAGGGGAGAAAGATCAATTACAACCAAAAGAAACCAGATATATCTTGCTTTGTTTTTGTTAGTTTTGCTGCTCGAGTTCCATAGATCGATCGAACCCCCATCGTCTCATCGGAATCAAATCATGATTTTTGAAAGGAAAAAATGGTTACGGCTACTGTAGCAATAGCAGCTGTTCTTCGTCTTTCTGCAACTCACTGAGTCGTTTTTTGGCATAAACTGTGACAACTACGGTTGTAGCAATCGTTAAAACGAACCCACCAACCGTGAATACGATCTGAAGGGTAGTAAGTGATCGGTGATCATGTGAAGCGTCTGCCAAGGTTCGTATCATTATACCCCTAGAATTTCAAGGTTAGAAGCGAGTGAAAACGATATTTAAGGTGAATACATGCTGAAAGTTAATATTAAGGGATCGTTTGGTTGGATTTCCATTAAGTCAATGTATGAATAAAGTTTTCTGTATGGATTAATCTGTCTGTATAGATCGGGAAGGTTTTTGTTTGGGAGAGTTTTCCTGTTGATCGAATAAGCTATAGGTCCCATTAAGCTCATTAAGCTGCTAACAAGCAAACCCTGAATGATTTAGTTACACCTACCTCCCTAAGGGCACTTATACTATCAACGAAAAAGTTACAAATGGTGTTCATGAAGACGGAAACAAAAGAATCGAGCAAACAAACACGTGTACATGAAGAAAGAAAGAGAAATCTTACGTGTAGATTGCAACGAGAATTTCTGGCACCATTCCAACCAACGTCCCGAGCAAGTAAGGAACAAACTTAACATCGGTCGCCACCGCACAATAATTGTATACAGCATACGGAAATGGGGATATTCTTAATAACATTACAGCTCTAAACTGATCGTACCAATCTCCTTCACCTGCCAATCTAATAATAGAGGCTTTCTTTGGATATCTTTCTAACCATCCCTGCATATAAAACAAATCGTAAGCCAAACCAAACGAAGCCGGTATATCCCATCCAGACGTGGGGTCTATCCCTAGAAATTATTTCAAGTGGTGGCACCATTTGACTATAAGAAAAAATTATATGTATATTTTTCACAAAAGCATCATTGTTTTGTTGGTTAGTTCATTGTTTTTCATAAACGAGGTCCCGGGTTCAAGTCTTTTATTGCAAATTTTTTCAGGAACATAATAAATCTGGAATTAAAAGCTAAAAACTAAGAAAACAAGACTAACATCATTCGAACTCCGGTCTGGGGTGGAAGAGAAGCATTGCAAACCAACTCTACCAAGGGAAATTTGTGTCCTCGTAGTTTTAAAATATATACGGTAGCACACTGCAAATTGAAACGGTGGCACTTTTCACGACCCTATAATTTTTTACATTACGACGGATGAACGAAGCAGTGGCCCTTGCAACCGTATCTTATACCGTGGGTTTGTCCCTGGGTCTATCCCTATCCCACCCGGAGGTGGGGTCTATCTCTATCAGGGGCGGACTCACTATGGTATATACAGTAGCACGGGCAACCGCTTCGTTCCGCTATCTTAGTATAAAAATTTAGAGTTGTGAGAAGTGTCACCGTATTATTCTGCTGAGTGCAATATATTCCTTGAAACTACAATAATAACTCAAGTTTCTCTTGGTAGAGTTGGTTTGCATGGTCTTTTGTCCCCTTCCAGGCATAGGTTCAAATCCCATTCGTATCATTTTCTTAGTTTTTACCTTTTAATTTCAGGTTTATTATGTTTATGAAAAAATTTGGGACAAAAAGAATCAAAACACATGACCTTACATATAAAAAGCAAGAAACTAACCAACAGACCAATGATGAATTCGTAAAAAAATATCCATAGCTTTGTTTTTATAGACAAATAGTGTCACCTTTCTAGGTCCGCCTCTGACAAATAAGTCCAATGATATGGATTATTTGGTTAAATGACCTTCTATCAGATATTTTTTAAATCCATGACCTTCTAACAGATTTGAGAATGTCACTGTGTAGTAGAAGAATGTCACTTCCATACACAAGAATGTCATGGATTTAAAAAGCACTTGTCATGAAGTCATTTAGCTAAATAACCCGCAATGATATAGGGATACTCACTTGAATTTTGCGGTAAAATAAGGAACCAAAGAAATAAGGAAGTGAGACACCGATAGTGACTCCGCCAATTATCAACAAGAACCCCAAACCGTAACCAAAACTCATTCCGGCAACCCACATGGACGGTGTAGATGGTAAAAATATGCTCGGGAATAATGCCACTGAAGCAAAAATCAAAACGGCTAACACCGGCTTGCTGAACGTGTTGGTCTCCCAATTTAAAACCGGTATAACCTCCTGAAACACATTCAGTAGACTCCATACAATCAAAAGTCGATTTGATAAGGTAATTTCAGTTAGAAGTCGTTTACTAAACGCTTAACCGGTAAGTGCTTACTGGGTCACTTTATCTTATCGTATAAACACAACAGGGATTAAGAATCTTACCTGGTAAGAGCGATGACAAGAACCACGAGTCTTACCCAATAAGTGAGAGAGACAACTCTTACCCGGTAACATATAAAGAATTCTTACTTTATTTGATTGTAACATATAAGTTGCTTATTACCACTTCTCCCCATTCTAAACGATGCTTGTTTCTTGTCACTAAATGCTGTGATCTTCATTTGTGGATTGTGAACAAACCAATATATGGCTGTTTGGTTGATTTTCCATTAAGTCCTATACGGATAAAGATGCTTGTACGGATTAATCTATCTATATAGATTGGAAAGGTTTTTGTTTGGGAGGGGTCTCTTGCGTATATTTTAATTGGTAGTGTCAGGTTTGGAAAAACTTGGCTTTCTAATCTGCATAAAGCTCCCCATCTTTCAGAATAAGTCACTTTCTATTTCATTAAGCTACTACCAAACAGTCATCTATAGCTGACTGAATAAGTTGTGAGTCCCGATAAGCTCATTAAGCTGCTAACAAACAGCCCCAATTAACAACAGATTTGGGGCTAATAAGCTACCTATACATTTACGATCAAATAAAATAACAACGTTTTAACAATAAAATTCAAAAATCCAGATAAATGAAATATAATTGCAATGAACAATAACTACATAAACATACCTTATCCATCAGAAAGGGTCCGATCCAAACGAAGAAACAAACCCCCAAAATTGCCAAGAATATGAACACAAAAACAAGTTTTCCCCACCACCAAAGTGACCACCAAAAACTAGTACAGTTCTCGGTGGAAGAAGGCGGCGACGGAGCCATAACACCACCGTCAGCCGCTCCTTCCGGTGTCGTCATGATTACATAATCAGGTTTAGGATCTTCAAACCCAACCTTCAACCGGGTGATTCCACCATCGTTATCATGACTCATTCCGATTGATAATGAAGATTCCGTATCAAAATCAAAATCGCATCAATTGAACCCTAAAATTGGAGGGTTTGGAATAGCTGTTAAAATGTCTCGATCGAAAGAATGTAAAATGAAGAAATTGGGCAAGAATCAAATGGAATATGTGATGGGGAAGGGGAAAAGGACAGAAATTTGAAGGAATCGTGGATTGAAAGACATGATTTGGGATTTTAGTTGGAGAATTGCAGAGGCATTCCAATGCCTCCATTCCTTTGTTTTTCAGATCATTTTTCTAAAGAATGTTTCGTCTGTTTTGGGTAAAAGTGGGCCTTTAGCTTAATGGGCTACAAAGAAAAAGCCCACTAAGCCCATTTGGGAGTTAAATCAGCCCAATACTCGATTTCAGATTGTTTCGATTAGTGGTCTCCAAGTTTTGATAATCTGTCTAACTTCAAAAATCATAATCGTTCAGTTTTTTAGTATCCATGATTAACCTTTCTTGTAAAGTTCCTAACTCGTTATGATCCCGAGCTTTCAGGCTGGGACGGACCCAGAAATCTTTTCAATCAGTGGCACCATTTGACTATAAGAAAAAACTATAGAAAAAAGAAATTCAAAAGATGGCATCTTTTGACTATAAGAAACAAATATACATAAAAAAATTCAATTGGTGGCACCATTTGACTAAGAAAATGACACTAACACGATTCAATTTGGGTCTAGGGTGAAATAAAAGTTTTGCAAACCAACCATACTAACTAAAACTTGTTCTCATTGTTGCTTCAAAATACATTCGGTAGCACACAACAGATTAATACGGTTGCACCTTTCATGAACCTAAATTTTTTTACCCTTCGACGAAGGAATAATACAGTGGCACGTGCCACCGTAACCACCAAAATAGGTTTGTCCTTGTTTTCAGGTCCACTTGCCTCCGTTATATCAGTTACAGAAAGAGCATACATCCCATTGAAGATGGTATTAGGTTATTAGCCCACTCTAGGAAAGGTAGGTTTAAGTCAAAAGAAAGATGCAATAAACATATAACATATTTATGAAGTCTGGTTTTTATTAAATGCTATAAACTTTTTCTTAGTAACGGGAACTCTTCATGGGGACTGAGACTGATAACTGATAAGAGACGCTTAAATTATCTGAAAGGCTGAAATAGCTTTTTTTGAAGGCCAGAGTATTCAATCCCATGATCCCACAAACACTGTTTTGTAAGAGCATCGTCAATAGATTCTCTAAAATGGAGATTTTGGGGATTTTGGCTGGTTTTCTGTCGCAAAACTTTTTACAAAATGTAGAAATTACGAGAGAGGTTATGAAATTCTCTAAATTTTGAGAACTTTAAGAAAATTATTACAATGAAAACCTTTGAAACTGAATATTTATGAAAGAAAAATCATATTTTATTAATTGTGTTGTATATTTTAATTTAGGGGGTGTTTGGGATTACTTATTTGAAACAACTTATGTTTTTCTACTAAAACACTTATCAACTTATTATAAGTCAGAAATGTTTAACTTCTTTAAAAACTCTTTATTACCGGTTTGGCACCGGTATAAGTTGTTTATCCAAACACTCAAAAGTGTTTATTACCGGTGCTATACCGGAATAAGTCAATAAGTTGTTTTTATAAACAATCTAAACACCCTCTTAATAATTGATGTTGTAATCTGTTGACTTTTGAGAGAAACCCGATTGAAAGTGTAAAAGTCAACAAAAGTAGGATAGAATGGAAAATGAAAACCTGCTTTTAAAAATAGACATTTAAGGAGTTGTTTATGAAATGCTTGCCAAGTTATATTATTTATCTGATGAGACAGATGAGTATGACAAAAACCAAGAATCTTACACGATAAGAGAGAATGCATGGACAAATTGTCTTATCCGATAGGCAATAAGTGGGAGTGACGATTCTTACCATGGTTAATATTTATTGCTATTTTGATAGACTACAATTTTATCTGATAAGCAAGTGATGTTAAAATTTTAACAGCTTCTACCAGATAAGTTTTTGGGTAAAAGGAGTGTTTATTTTTTTTTTTATATTTTGTAATATTTTACCAACAAAAATACAAATAAAATTGTATAAGAAGCCTCAAAATACGGTGGGACTTCTGTTGACTTTTGAGAGAAACCCAATTGGAAGATTCTCCATTGATGATGGTGGTCAAAACCATTGTTGCTCAGCTTCTTCTTCATCATCACCATTATCGATATAATCAACCATCTCGATTTTTCCCGCGAAATTGTTCTTCAGGTAACCATTTGATTTGGTGTTTTGTTATTACAGTTTGTGGTTTTTGATTTCTGAAAGCGTTTCATCTTGTTGAATCGCAGAAAGCGCTCGAATCGAGTTCCCAATACGTCCCCTCAACCTCTCTTTATGTACATCATTCCTCTTCTTCTTACAATTGTGTTCGATTTCTGTTTCTGTTTCTGTTTCTGTAAGATTTGACTTCCATCATCTGATTGTTGTTAAGAAAATGCTCGTTGTTAATGGATTTTAGGTTGTGGTTCTAGATTGATTATTCATACGCGTGCATCTGGAGAGATTTCTGGCCGGATTGATCAGGATGAACCTCCGAATTATGCACCGATTTCACCTCAGGTATTAATGTTAATCGTTTTTTGCACTTAATTGAATTTAAATTGGAAGTTTCAATAAATTTGGGGAAGAAATTATCGGACAAAATTTGTGCCCCAAACATCCAAATGGTGACCTAAGGCATGAATTCAGACATCCAAAATCATGTCTTAAAGCATTAAGTTGGTGATTGGTGTTTAGGTTTCATCCTGTGAATGCACAGCAGGTATTCCCACACCAAAAATGCATGTTTTAAAGCACTAATAGGGTGACTATTGAACAAATTTTAGGTGCTTAATGGTCAAATTTGATCAAGTTTTCAGGCTAAACTTACTTATTTGTGTATCCTCGCCAATACAACCTCTTGAAGTTATTGATTTTGGTTAGCTACATGAGTGGTTTTCAACCAATTTTGATATCGTGGGAGCCTTCTTTAGTATCTGGTTGGGAATGTGACATCCCGATCCACATTTTTTTCATTCTGTTGTGAGTATGAATTACCTTCTAAGTTCTTGGTAATGTGTTAATGATTTCCCACTGTAGTTTTTGGATACTTGGGGATTATATGGGTCAGTCTGTAGAGCGGACTCCTGCATCTCTTAGGCCTCGTTTGATTTGTGCGTTTTGGTGGGATTTGGAGGAATTTGGAATATGATTTCATTCCAAACCGGCGTTTGGTTTAAAAGAAACTCCGGGATTAAAATCCCACAAACATGGAATTTCGAAATCCCATGGGGTAGTTGGTATTTCACGGGATTTCATAGGATTTGTTTGTAATAATGTTTTAAAATATGTTAAAAGCTTCCGTTTTGTAATAATAAATTAATAAAAGGTAACTTAGTTATTTTTAAATTGTTAATAGTTTGTTTTTATAAATTATCTACAAGGAACGGAATTTAATTCATTCCAAATCCTACAAACCAAACATACCAAAGATTCCAAATCCTTCCAAGAAATCCAAATCCCTCAAAAACATCCCTTCAAACGAACCCCCCAAGGGATAGTGATTCCAGTATTCTGTTTGGATTTTTGTTCAAACCTAATGAAGACGTTATTAATTTAAGTCGGGGAGTTTGTGACACCCATACGACATTTGTTGTAAGTATGAACTTTGAGGCGCCTCTCTTGATAGTGGGTTACCTAAATCATGCAGATGTGGACATAAACAATATGTATTTTGATCTAATAGTTCGTTTATTTATGAACTCATCAGGGATGGAAAAACCTTCAATAAATGTGTTTTTTCCATATTAATTTTATTGACACTAACGTACGCGTGTGATGTGGCAGATACCTGAACACAAGGCGTCTTTTGTGGATGTTTTAAAGAAAGCCAACTCGGTATTGCCTCAAGTAGTTCTTGCTAGTACAATATTGGCTCTTGTCTATCCACCATCTTTCACATGGTTTACCAGCAGGTTATATAATAATGCTCTCTTTGTTCCAAAATGGTAGTCTTTAAGGTTCTTGCACATCGGTTGAAGTTATTACTATTATTTTGGCTAATTTGCAATTGTTATAAATTTCAATTCCTTTTTTTACCCTTATTAGGTGCATCAATAGTTGGCATGCATTGTCATCATATCAAAGTTTTCATTGCTTGTTGGTTGTTTGGATTTTCTAGAGAAGAGGATGAAACAATGAAAAAAAACCAAACCAAGCCAAAAACGCCCACTTGAAAGTGGGGTCTAGGGGAGGTAAGATGTACGCAAGCCTGATCCCCACCCTAAAGAGTAGAGCGGCTAAGTGATACAACGAAAACAAAAAGGAAATGTAGATGGCTATTTAAGGAAAGATATTGAACATAGGTATAGTTGCAAATGAGTTAACATAAATATGCCTCCTTTGTTTCTATTTCCACATGTACCTTTTAAGAAACTGAAGCCACCAAATAGTTAAAATGACCAAAGGATCATTGGTCTAGCGGTACTCCGGTTACTGGTAGAGGCCAACCTCCTAGGAGAGTAGGAGGTCAAGGGTTCGAACATCTTTGAGTGTGTGTAAGAGCATCTCCAACAACTATGCTATAATTTTTTTTTCTTCTAAAATTGAGTATCAAAAGTTAAAATCCCTAAAAAATTACATTCAACTCCAACAGCTACTCTATTTTAGCACTTTTATCATTAACTATATTATTGAAATATTAAATACATTTAGTAAAATATTATTTCTCTCGGCTAAACACGTAATTAGTTAATTTCTATGTCTTCTTTTGGTAAGAAAGAATTAAATATTATTTCTCTCTCATAAATATGATGTTATAGAGATTTCTCAAAATTTGGAGATTTCTACCCTCTTTCTCTTCTTTTCTCTATTTTAGCATAGGTTATAGCATAGTTGTTGGAGTAAAAATATACCCAGAATCTGTTTAGCTGTTGGAGATGCTTCGAGTATTTTCCGTATATAAATATTATATACTTCAAGAAAAGTTAGAATCCTGCTCCAAATCTTGTGGTTGCTTTGTCATATTAAATATGTTCGTATCAGTTTGGCTATTGTTATCTTATGGTTATTTGTTTGCTACGAACAAAAAACAAATTTCAGGTATTATGCCCCAGCTTTAGGTTTCTTGATGTTTGCAGTCGGACTTAATTCGAGTGAAAAAGATTTTGTTGAAGCATTGAACAGACCAACAGCGATTCTTGCCGGTTATATTGGCCAATTTGTTTTGAAACCGTTTCTAGGTTATCTGTTTGGCACAATGGCCATGACAACATTCGGCCTCCCAACTTCCTTAGGTAAGGGTAATGGTTATTGTTCGTGTTTATTTTCTTGATATTATTATTCTTATACTTTTGGTGAACTAAAACCCACATTTTGATTGATCACTATGATTTGTCTCCGCACGTTAGGATGATGGGAATCCATACATATTAAAAAAATATGTGCATAAAAGTCATTTTATTATGATTTAAATATTGTTGATTTGTGTCATTTGTAACTATTATATGATATAAAAAACATTAAGCAACATTTAGGGGCTATCTGGTCATTTTAACAGTTTTGTTTTGTCCTGTCCAGCTTACCAAAATCAAAACAAACAATTAGGACTTGTTTGCTAGTAGTTTGATGAGCTTAATAGGACTCGCAACTTATTCGATCAGTCATGGCAACCCGATATTTAAGGAAGCACAGCTAACCTCAGCGGGCTTTGAAGCCCCTACTGGGATGGGATATTTGAAGCCGTAGGTGGGTATTCAAATAAAGGGGAGCACCTTCATGTGACCAATCTTTTTGACATTCCATACAAGGACCTTCATGTGGAACTATGTTTGGTAGTGACTTCATGATATAGAAAGTGGCTTATGCAAAAAGCCAAGTTTTTTTAAAGTTGTCCCTCCCAATTAAAAAACATGCTCCTTCTATCTATGAACCCCCCCCCCCCCCTTAAAAAAACCTTCACAATCTATGCAGACAAATTAAGTCACACAGACAACTTTATCCATACAGGACTTAATGAAAAACAACCAAACAAGGCGCCCTCTTAAGTAATGCACCTATGAGGTTACTATCAGAAGGGCAGGATTTTCCTAAAAAGGCGACTTTCAGTGCCACATCAGCTTGGTTGAACACATGTTATGCCACGTGGGCATCCCGTATTTTCTTTAGCAAATCAATTAAATACACAGATTGAGTACATAAATGCTTGATTTGATTCCAAGATTATTTGATTCAGGTGCTGGAATCATGCTAGCTTCTTGCGTTAGTGGGGCCCAGCTCTCGAATTACGCCACTTTTCTAACGGACCCTGAAATGGCCCCACTGAGCATCGTTATGACCTCATTATCTACTGCTACTGCGGTTCTCGTCACCCCACTCTTATCACTATTGCTCATCGGAAAGAGGTTGCCTGTTGATGTGCAAGGAATGGTTTCCAATATTTTGCAGATTGTAGTTTCACCTGTTGCTGCCGGCTTGCTTCTTAACCGGTAAGGAGATGCCATCTGACTTTTGAGGTCAATCCAACCGATTTTAATCTTACAAGTTCATATAAATTTTATATATTCTCAACAAGTGTTTGATACTGACACTCTTTTCTACGACGAGAACTGCTACAAAGAGAAAAATGGGTCTAAATTTCTAGTAAAGTTCATATCAATTTCAAATTTGATGAGTAGTAAGTTTGACCTTAAAAGTCAAACTCGGCTACTTCTCTTGTACATGAGGGATTATCTGGGCTCTTTGGACGAATGACCAATAAGTTTTCAGTAATTGTTTTAACTCAATGACCTGCATCTGACCTGTCACTCTTTCAAAACAGCCCTTGATTATCTTTCTTTTTTCTCTTACAAGTATTTTCTTTTTGCTTCTACAGGTTTTTACCAAGAATTTCTAGTGCTATTCGACCGTTTTTGCCTCCGTTATCGGTTCTAGTGACCTCTCTATGTGTTGGGGCTCCTCTTGCTATTAACATAGACTCCGTCTTATCACCTTTTGGCATATCCGTCTTGTTGCTTGTTATCGTGTTTCATTTATCAGCATTCATCCTCGGATACGCATTTACCGGCATTGCCTTCCACAATTCACCCGACGTCAAACCTCTTCAAAGAACACTATCTTACGAAACAGGTTGTACATTTCTTCCATCTAGCAACGATCTTCTCTAGTCTCGTAAAAGCTGCAGCTTTTACTTTTTGCTATTTAATATTAAATGAGATTTCAATTAAATCCATGACCTCCAGGTTTATTAAAGAAAAAACGGTTTCATATTCATGAGAAGGTCATGAATTTAATTAAAATCTCATTTAAGGTTACATAATTAAATATACAGCTTCTTGGTTCATCTGATTTAAATTATTTCTAATGTACGTGCTTTTAAGTGTTTTTGTAAATTCATGACCTCCTGACCTATTAAAAGAAGAGTAAAGTACGTTTTTTGTCCCTGTGGTTTAGAAATGAGATTTTAAGGTATATAACCTTAATGAGATTTTAATTAAATTCATGACCTTTTCGTGAGTATAAAGCCATTTTTTCTTATTCTAAGGTGTACACTTATGTTTTTTGTTGCAAATAAATAATTGTTCTTCCAAGAATTTAAAAAATACACTACACTTTGCAAAAGTGTGCAATTTTGGACAAAAAGTACCAAGTATATTGTCGTTTTTGCATGTAGATTTTTACAATTTGTCCGAAATCGTGCTAGCTTACATGGCGTTGTGGTTTCCATTTTTCCATTTTCACAAGAACGATCGTCTGTTTGCAACAAAAAACCAAGCACAAGAAGCGAAAAAGTTCATTACTCGTTTTTGGATACAAATGTTCCAAACCTTATGCATTTTACGAGAAGAACCTTGTTTAAATGGACCGAATGACTCCGAAATAAATGTTCCAATTTTTATGAGACAAAGGTTATCGCATTCTTTAAGTTATGTGTTTCGTCTTAAATAGGTATGCAAAGTAGTTTATTGGCGTTGGCACTCGCAAATAAGTTCTTTCAAGATCCACTCGTGGGCGTGCCTCCGGCTATATCCGTGAGTCATTTCTACTCTAAACCGATTTCAAATATTCTTTATTCTTTTCGTACGAGTTTAAAGGCTAATCGTTTACGTTATTTAGCTTCATTCTCTAATTAGTATGTGTAATAATTATTGCATTTATTAATTAAGTAAATGACAATTTTACCCTTTATAATAGAGGAAGTAATGAATTTTTTCATATAGTTAAAGGGTAAAATTGGAGAATATACACATACTTTTGGAAGTGGACACATTTTAGACAAACAAAAATAGAAATGTAAACGCTTATTTTGGAATATTTGGAATAACATTTAGTACCAACATTTTTCTATTTGAAGAGAAAATTTAGCGTAGGTATTAAATAATCTCGAATATTTGAACAACCCGATTGCTATTATTTATGCAAAACAACACACACAAGGGTACAAAATTACGTTTATGCCCTAAACCAACTGAAGTAGACCTAGGGCCTGTTTGTTAGAAGTTTACGAGCTTAATGGGACTACAACTTAATTCATCCATCCATTCAAAAACCCTTACAAACAGCCCCTAAGTCATGAATGGATAAAGCGGTCTGTGTGGATTAATCTGTCGGTAGAAATCGAGAATTTTTTTGTTTAAGAGGGTTTTTTCATAGATGTAATAAGCGTATTTTTTTTTAATTTGGAGGAGTAGGTTCGGAAAAAACTTGGTTTTCTGCATAAAGCTCTCACCTAGAAGTTTACTGAATAAACCACTTATCATTAAGTCACTACCAAAGAGTCATGTATAGCGGACCGAATGAGCTGCGAATCCCATTAAGCTCATTAATCTACTAACAAACATGCTCTTAATGGAAAACCAACTAGATAGTCCCCTAGTTGTGGTTGTTGGATCTTATTTTCTTGGGTCATCACTTAGGGTGCAAGATACCTTCACATAATTCATATAAGTTCGGGATCGTTTAACAGTAATGAGTCACCACTCTAACTTACTTTACTGGGTAAGATTGTCGTCCATCAAAATGACATTGCGCGCAATAATCTTACCTGGTAAGCGATAACCGGTCATCAACTTGTCATTCTCATTTAGCGGCTAGGATTTCTGGTCCTTGTCATGCTCACCAGGTAAGGTAATTGACTAAGTAATCGTTTGGTAAACGGCATGTTTGACTGCAAAACCTTTAATTTAGTAGGTTTGGTTTATTTGGGAGATGAGGTAGTTTTGTGATGGTTTTTTTTTTTGCAGGTTGTAATCATGTCATTAATGGGTTTTTCTTTAGTGATGATTTGGGCTAAGAAGAAGGGATAAATTGAATCTAAATGGCTCTTGACTTTGAGTTTGAAGTAGTTTTGCTCAAGATGTTAGTTGATTTTAGATTATATTTATCTGCAGTTAGTTACACAAATTCAAACATGAAGCTTTAATAAGTTGTACATACGTACAATTTACTTGTAATCCCCGAAAAATAACAGATTTAGATGATACTTTTACTGTTTTACATCTATGTTTCGTTTACTGAAAACTTTGCATAGTGTATTTCTTTTTGTATTTTTGAAACTATACAAAAGATTAGGTTTGAACCCTATGATTATAAGGCATGTGTTTTGTCCCTAATAACGTCTTTGTGGCTATCAAATCTATAGAAAAAAACAAAAAAATCGTAAAAGAAAATTTTACTTGACCTAGCAGTGGGTGGCAATCGTGAATCATGATAGCATTAAGCACAATTAAAAGGCTGGTGGCCAACGACAATCGGAATGATAACATACAAGCTTACGTGTTGATAACGTGTTATAGAATAACTAACAGATAACAATAATAGAATTTAAAAGTTCTTGTTTTGTGTAAATTTTTTAATTCAAATTTTTTATTATAATTTAATTTAACATAACGAAGTAATTTAATTTGGGTTTAAAAATATAATTTTTTATAAAGATAATAATTAAGTATTTTGTCAAAACTCAATAATTATCCTAATTATATTTTAGATTTTTTATATTTAAAATGAGATGTTTATCATGTATTTGATTATTTTTGTCTGCAATTAGTTACACAAATTCAAACATAGAGCTTTAATAGATTGTATTTACTCATAATTACTTGTAATCTAGAATTTCAAGTAATATGCATCAATAAACAGTACTTTGTGTATAGAAAATGGTTTTTAAAGAGTTTTTGTCAAATGATTTATAATATAGTGTAGATAATTAGAGATAAACTCATCCATAACCCTCTAAACTAGTGTTATACCCACACGACAATTGTATAATATTGCTCAATCGATAATATAACCATGAACTGAAATTAAAAGAATACAGACATATGTGCATGTCACCTTAGACGAGTTGCATAACAGTTGTAGTTTCGGTCTCAATTTCTGTTGCTGGTTAATCACATGATGATGAAGACTTACGTATTCTCGATGCGGTGCTCCTCATTGCTTTTCTTGAAATTTGTTTGCGTTTTTATACCACTTATGTTAGTCGTCCCCGTGACGAAATGGTGTGTAAGCTCATGTGATAAAGGTTTAACCCCCACCTATACTTAATGTCAACAACATCATAAAAATGGAGATGGATCCATATGAATTATATGTAATAAATGAAGTTAAAGGATCAAATCCATAATTTTTTACATATCTTAGGGATCAAATCCGTAATTTTCTTTATGTTTTAAATTCCGAAGATAATGAAGGAGGGACTGGTTTTGCAAATTAGTAAAAAACGGAGGGTCTTTTTGTTATTTACTCAACAATTCGTTCAAGTTTCAACTTTCAAACGTTGGAAACAGATGGCACATGCTAATTACGGTACGCTGCAAGTTCACCTTAGCAAAACCAAGGCGCCGTTTTAACCAGCATAAACCGGAGGCGGATAGTGTTTCTCGATCTCATTTTTACATTTACTATTTTACCCCTCTACATTTTTCCTATTTGCATTTTCATCTTTCTTTTTTTTCATATATTTTAACATAATACTTAATTATTATATTTATAAAAAAATTATATTATTAAATCAAAAATAAATTACTTTATCATCAAACATAAATTAAATTATAATAAAAAATTAAATTATAAAATTATAAAAAAAATAAAAAAGTTAAGTTGATACTAATGTCTATATCTTTTTCAAAGTTTTATGATATCTTCAAATTTATATTTTATTCAAAAATAAAAACATTATTGTTTTCTCAAGACCACGTAAAACCATATTATATTGACAAAGACAAAATATTAAAATCAAAATGTATCTCGCTACATTGTACGAGTGTCCTTCTAATACATTTTAATTGGACAAATGCAAAAACATGTATTACTGATCCCCCAAAATTTGAAGCCCATGTTCCACATTATGCATCGGAAGTAGTGATGGTCAAACCGGTCCAACCAAGGACCAGTTACACTATAGCTTAACTAGGTTCACTCTTCTCGACCAGGATCAGTTACGTTGAGACCGGTTATGGCTGGATTTATTTAGGGTCGGGACCGATAAGGCCTGGCCCGTTCCTACCCTGGACCGGTTTTTGGCCATCACTAATTGGAACACCCTCTTTTTGAATAAAATAGAAAACCTGTAATTTTAAAGAATCTGTTGTAAATGCTTTTAGCATCTTTTATAATATTTATTCAATGGATTATCTTTTGGATGAAAAGCATGATGGTGACATTGTGTTGGGTTTTTATTAGAACAACTTTGTGTGTATTTGACACATTAATGTGTTTCTTGGTGGGCCCACCACATATTAATTAAATAAATGGATTGTTTTCAATTTTATCTCATATTGAAGTGTTATTTGCACCCTTTTGTTTGAACTCAAGTATAGTGGGTAGGTCATCAATCAATTTCCATTATTGCCCTTAATTGTATCAATGATTTTGTAGATTAAAAGAAGGTTTTAATGTAAATAACTGATAATTAAGAGGTCGTTTATCAAATGCTTACCGACACGAGATATTGCAACATCTTGAACCATCAAAATGGATTGTTGGTAATCGTCTTAATCTCGATAAACGCTTATTGGGTGAGGGGTCGTTTTCGTGACTTACCGAGTAAGACTCTCGATCTTTGTCATGTCTTTTACTGAATAAGATTCTTGGTATTTGAACGTCTGATCACTTTTAATCTCACCCTCACTCGATGAATTGTACTTGATACGAGAATTGATCAGTGCATCTCGTTAGTGTTGATCTTCAATTATAATTGATCCAAGGGTGAAAGATCACTTACTACCTTTTTAACATAACTTTCACTCTCACTGAAACCCAACCATACATACATATTTATCCATTTATTACGTAATTATTCAGACAATATTTATTAATAAAAAAATAAACAGATCTCTACATTTGCTAGTTATTAAAATTATGTAGAAGTGAATGTAAAATGTATTCGTTTTGAAAGTTGATATGCTTTCATATATGTAATTATTAAATATAAAAATAGTCGTTCATGTGGTTTGCTTAAATTTTGGATTTGATCTCTAAAACAAACTATTTATACTGATGGTCTCTGACTTTTTATTTTCATAACACTCATTGTCCATGTATTTAACAATGTTAGTTAGCAACTTTTACGAAGAACTAATCGATCTTTAAACAAACTATAGAGAATAATTAAAGTGTAATCTGCTCTAAAATTTAATGTGATACACAGGTTTTTTTTTTTTTTTAATTAACAAACATTTTATATAAAAAATCATAAATTAATTTTTTTAAAATAAAGTACATATTAAATAAATAAATTTATTTAAAAAAATTTAAATTCACAAAAAAAAAAATTAGTGTTACGAAATATCTGTGTTCAAAAAAGCATATACTAAATCAAGATAAAGGCACATCTTTTAGGTCTGGAATTAAAAATATGCGAGTAAAATATTGAAATAACAACAAAATAAATATTATAAATTAAGATTAAAAAAACACTGATTATTCAAATTCAGAGATATCAAATTCAGACGCTTTCATATGTTTTAACGACCATTAAGAGATATCAAATTCAGACGTTTTCACAAACCCCAATAGTTATCTTACAACTCAAAAACTGTAGGGACTAAAAGTGATGATTTTGAAAAATTACAAGGACCAAATTTGTATGTTACCTTGAATAAAATATGGATGCATTGATGTGTCCTCCCAAGAAAAACCAAAAAGGAAATAACAAAAATTGGAAACTATAATTTTTTGAATTTTAAATAAAATATAATTATTATTTTTTACTTTTATGTATTTTCTCCAAATTTAAATTTTTTTATATTGTTTTATCTTTTTCTTTATTTAAAAAACATTTTAACCGGATTTTTTAAAATAAAAAAACAAATAAAATTCTCTAAAAATTATTTTACAAGTAAAAAATACTATTATTCATAGTATTTGAAATAATATTTTATTAATTTATAATATAATTAATATCTATATCTATATTATTTTATTAAGCAAATTTAACAAAAGTCTTAAAAATATTAAATGATCAAGATACCTTTTTCACTTTTGCACCCCTTCTTGCTCCTCACATACACTCATCCCCTCACATACACTCACCCTTTCACATTCAACGGATTTTTTTAAAATTATAATTTTAAATTTACACTTTATATCCTTATAATTAGTTAATTAATTATTTTACGTCATTTACTTTTAAATGTTTCGTTTTAAACTTTTATCAAATTAACATACATAATTGTATATCAATTAAAACATGTTTAAAAAATACATTTTTATTTTAACAAGTTATATCATTATAATTGTCTCGTTAATACCTTCGAAGTGAGTCTAATATTGAATAGTTTGACTTAATTATATTATTATATATTATATATATTGTGAAAAATATTTTTAATGTTTACGATTTATAATTTTATAGTTATTTATTTATATATATGCTATACATTTTGGGGTTAGGCTGTCCAAATTGCACTGTATGATATATTCTTAGTTTTTTTTTGAAATATATATACATGTATTAATTCAACCTTAATCTGAGTTTCTAGACAAGAAAAAAGGTAAACAGTTGAAATTTCATTCTAAAACTCATCTTTTTTTGTCTTTTCATGGCTTATGATCTGTCAAATTTGTAGTTTTCTTTATTGGTTTTGAATGTTTAACTTAAAACTCAAGTTTCTTGGTTCTTTGCTCTTGGTGTAAATCGAACACATTTGTGGAGTCGCTTAAATATGTTGAATTTTAAATATATTGGATTTTAAACTGTCATACAATTTTTTTCATCGATAGTCTGTAATTGGAAACATAACTCTTATTTATTCAAATTGTATTAATATGTAAAGACCAATTGTAACGTATATCATCATTAAATCTTATCTTATAAAACCAGTGGAACTTCAAAATCGTTAAAATTCATGGCTCCCGTCGCATTATGCAGATACACAACTAGTTGTAAATAAAAAATCTATTGAATTTTAATTTTTTTTAAATAAATTTAATTAAAATAATTTAAAATAATGTCTAAAAGTAATCATTATCACAATTAAATGCGTAGCTTTAACTTTTCTTTCAAGTAAACGGGTGAGGGGTATTTCCGTCTTGTCACTTTTCCAATGTTACAAGACATGAAGAAGAAAAGGTACAAGCCAAGTCGGTTTCCCATGTAAATTGACAAAAAAAGCCCTACCCAAGTTCCTCATTCAGCATATGTCACCAAAGGGCATTTTCGGTATTTCAGACAAATAAGAAATCAACCTCGTAGCTCTCTATATAAACCCACCATCCCCTTTTCCCATTCCAATCTTTTTTCTCTTCAAATCGTTGATTACTTTTTCCAGTTTTTCGATTCCAGAATCAAATCGGAGAATATGGGTTCCGACGCCAACAAGATGAACGACGGTACCAGCTTCCAGCCATCGGAGCCGGCTCCCTGCGCCAACGGTTGCGGCTTCTTCGGTACCGCCGCCACCATGAATCTCTGCTCAAAGTGCTTTCGCGACATCCGAATCAAGGAGGAACAAGCCGCATCAGCTAAAGCCGCCGTCGATAAGCTCGTCAACAAGGTAGTTTCCTTCCCTCCACAAACTCCCTCCGCTTCCTCCTCATCTGGATCTGAACAACTTCCGCCGCCTACCACCGCCACGGCGGTGGACGTAAAACAGAAGATCCGAAATCGGTGCTTAACCTGCAACAAAAAGGTCGGTGTGATTGGATTCAAGTGTAAGTGTGGTGAGACGTTCTGTGGAAGCCATAGGTACCCGGAGAACCATGATTGCGAATTCGATTTCAAGAAGACAGGGAAGGAAGCGATAGCGAAGGCGAATCCGGTGGTGAAAGCCGATAAGGTAGATCGGATCTGATTGTAAGATTTAGGGTTTGGTGGATGTGTTAATGGTGGAAATTAGGGTTTGTTTTTTAGATTTGATTTGGGGGTGTGAAGACGATGATGATGATGAATTGAAGGGGGGGTGGGGGGTGAAAGGGTAAACAAATGGGTATTTGGGGGGTTGAATTTGAAAATTGTTGCATATAATTGGATGGTAGGTTGTTTACTTGTTTGAATTTAATTTCTTTTCTTTGAAGATTTATCATCAGACGTATTTTATTATTATTTACTTTGTTTTTAATTATTTAAATTATAATTTAATAAAAAGAAGATGAAAGAGTATTAAATTAATCAAATAAAACCCAATTTTATTAGAATTAAAAAATGTGGATGGTGATGCGGTCACATCTACGTGGCTTAAATTAATTGGCCAATTTCTGCAATTATCATTAGAGTTAAAAAGGATTTTTGGAAATTGATATTTTTTAACTAAATTTTATTTTAAGATAAATAAAATATCCACTATAAATAAAAGATTCATAGATTTTGGAAAATCCACTAAAATCCAATTTTATGAGACTATTTGTCAGTTGTTGAATGATTTAATACATAATTAATTAGAATTTAGTCTCTTTAATGATTTGAAACTATTTGTCAGTTGTTGAATGATTTAATACAGAATTAGTTAGAATCTAGACTTTTTAATAATTTGATACAAAATGATTAAATGATCTCATGAATCTAGTCATATACCACTTATTGATTCATACTTTTGATCACCCGCTTGTTATTTTAGGTTTTAGGCGAAGAAAACAAAATGGGCTTTTTATAACTTTAATGGGCCCTGCTATGAGATTTTCTTTGGGCTAGTTAATGGGCTAAACAGAAATGTTTGGTTTGGGCTATGTCTTAAAAGTAGAGATAGGTGGAGTTCAATCTAGTCTTGGTATGAGATTTTCTTTTTGTAACCGGTCTCTATCCTGATAAAAAGAACCCACCTCGTTTTCCATGTATAAATCCAGTCTTCAAAATCGGTCTCGGGCCCGACTCAAATCGGTCCGTTCTTTTTTTCATCTAAATATCAAATTTGAACATATAATAAATCTTGTTTGAAGATTTTATTTATTTGTACGTCTTATTTAAGTACACTTTAAAATATCTAATTGGTTCATTCAAATATACTTTAAATCTTTTTTTAAATCATAGAATATAAACCTGATTTTTGAAATCACATAATATAAACCCTCATCCATCGATTTCATTATTTAATCTTATGATTTTTGAAATTTAGCATTGGAACGCTTAAAATAACAATGAATTACAATCTATAAGAATATACCTGATTTCAGAACTACGAAGACGAAAGTCCCGGTTTTTAACAAACCATCGGGTCAAAAAACGTGATTTACTCTAAAAGAAATAATACGTTTGATTAATAGAAAGTGAACAAAAATTGATCCCGAAAAACCTGAATAATCACATTATATATCTAACACTGAAACTTAAGTGTTTCATTTGTATAGTTTTTTTATTTCATATTACAACCATAGTCTCATACAAGTTGCATTTTTTAACGAAACTGGTCGTTATAGGTGCAAATCTTTAACGACCTAAATCCCTTAATAAATTAACAAATTGAGTTCTTATAATTATATTAAGAACCCAACTTCAAAAAAAAAAAATTACAAACCACAAAAACTCGTATCATTAAAAACACCAAAATATCGAGACTAAAAATTGTAATTCACTTTTAAATATGAAAATCAACCCCATAAGCATATGAGAAAGATAGTTAATGTGAGAAGTGTAAGAAAGGATATGGACTGTTGATCATCGTTAATCTCAAACTCATCCATGAATCGTGCTTGATATGAAGACTGATCCGGTTCATCTTGATGTATCTCATCATAATATGTGTGGAAAGAGTGGAGTAAACACATAGCATGTGCTTTCTGATAGGATTGCACGTGATCTACCTGACAAACCCATGCCACGTATTAAGGTCACACTTTTTGAGCCTTTACGACCCTTGCCGTTTGGCTTTAAGATTTTATATTAAAAACTGATAGAGGATGTCTTAACGGTTACGTTATCTTTTTTTTAACCAAAATAATTATCTTATTTTATTTATTTTAAAATAAATATATATTTCCGGTATATAATTTTATTAATATATGTATATATTATTTATTTTCTAAAATTAGGTCTTAATCGGAAACGAGGATCAGGGTTTGATTAGAAAATAAACCGGGGACGAAATGTTAATTTTCGTACCCACTGAGGGCTATTACTAAAAACCGGGGTCAGGGTAGGGGATTACAAAACCTGTCACATACCATGCCGACTTACGGGTTACGGCTATTGGAGCATGTATGTTGATTGTTTCTACTTGCATGACTTCGATGTGCGTTAGTCGTAGATTTTCTTTAATCAATTATAATTGTTTTGTTGTATATTTGTGCTTTCGGCCCTCGTGCTTGTGGAACGTATTTTCCGTTCCATTTAGTATGTTTACTTATGTACAAACTTTTGCTTGTATCATTAGTGCAGTTTATTAAATGCTTACTTGGTAAGCGTTTACTGATGAGAGACATCATATATTATTTATCTTATCATATAACGTTTTTGATCGTCAAAATAGATTGTTAGTAAGCGTCTTAAAACGCGGTAAATGTTTACTGGATAATAATCAACACTTTCACTTACTAGGTAATACTCACAATATTTGCCGCCCAAAACCGCACCGCACTGCAAAACGCGGTTTAGAACACTTGCGGTGCGATTTGCGGTTTTAAGTCATTAAACAGCAGATCAAACCGCATCGCATTTTTTTTAAATTATATATATATATATATATGTATAATCATTATAATTAATACGTTATTGATTATTTATTAAATTTTTAGTTTTCTTTTTAAGTTTTTATGCTACAAATTATTTCTTTGAGTTATTTTCACTTTTTTATATCAAAAGTCATGGTCGAAAATATTTATAAGTTAACCTTAATAAAATATATTTGGATTAATTACGAACTATTTTATTTGCATTACGCATTTCTAAATTACTTTTAATGAGTATTGAAAGTTATAATTATATGGAATATAGAAACATCAGCGTTGACTTTATTATGATTGTATAATTATCGGACTAAAATGCGTTACGCAAAAACCCGCATCGCATTTTCCGGTGTGGTTTTTTGCGGTTTGTGGTTTGGGAAAATCTTTAAATCGCATATGTGGTGCGGTTCATGGTCTGACCCTAAACCGCAGTGCTAACACCCTACAAGATAGTATAAGGGGAAATTGACAAAAATGACCATTTCTCTCACATCGATTGATCTCCTAACAATTCCTCTTCCAGTTTTACCTAAATGTCACTACCTCTGCAAGTGACACATTCATAATTTCTGGACGTAACTAAAAGACAAAAAAATTATAATTTCTCTCGAGGTCCGCAATTGGCACTTCCCCCCAATTTATGCTCAAATCAGTAAGTCATGAAGGTGCCACTTGTACATATACTTACCTTTGCAAATTACAGAGATACCATTTATGGAGATATTAACATTTGAATAAAACTGAGAGATAAATGGTCAAGAGAGCAACTACAACGAGAAGAATAACCATTTCGATCAATTTCCCTACTATAAAATATAAATTATGTTGTGTACAATATATTTTATGACAACTTACATGAAAAAATAACGTACTTTAACTTGACTCATATTTTGGGTAACATACTCCAAAATTTTCATTTTTGTACCTAAGATGTAAAGTTTTAAATATTTAAGTACCTTAGTAACCGGTTGAAATATTAACTGGTTACCATGCTGATGTGGTATTGAACTAAGTATTATTTGCTGACATGAATATTTTCATCTAAAATTAGTTTTTATGTATCATGGTTTATTATAGAAGAAAAAATTAATGTTTCAACCAATTACCCGGTTAATTAAATATTTAAAACCTTATATTTTTTTATACCAAAATGGAAAATTTAAAAATATATTACCCCGATAATATAAATCAAATTAAAGTATCTTTACTAAAATAACGTGGTATTATTTTGGACAAAAAAAAACAAATTTTAGAAGTGAAAAAGAAAAGCAACGTGGCAAGACCCCACCTGCGTGTGGTATGAGTCAAAAGAAAGCAAAGGACATGTGGGTCCTATCTAGCTAGCTGGCACCTGGCAGTCTGACAACACTACGGATGTCACGTGTCAAGTTGACTTTATATTTCATTTGAATTTAAAATATCTCATATACTCCCTCCCTCCCATTTATAATAATTCTCTTTGTCTTTTTCATTTTAATTTTAGAGTAAACTACAATTTTGGTCCCTGTAGTTTACATCCAACTACAAAAATGATCCTTAAACTTCATTAAGTACACAATTAACTTTGTTTCTTTTAAAAATTAATTCACATACTCGCATATGTTAATATGAAATCCGAATGGTCCGAAACCTAAACATGAACCCGAATAAAAAATAATGTGTTTGTGTAAAACTTGAATACCTAAAAATCGAAAATCCAAAACCTGACTTTTGGGGGATATTTGAGTTCAGGTTTGAGCTTGATTTTTGACACTGGACCCATTTGAAACCCTATATATAGATAGATAGATAGATAGATAGATAGATTCGAAACCATAAGTAAATCGAAACCAAAATTGTAGATTTGAATTCCATATCCGAAAATCAAGATTTCGGTTTACCCACTTGAACCCGCCTAATGCACATCCGTACACTTTCATCCCCAACATTTCACCACCACCGAAACCCTTGACCTATGAAAAAGCCCTCCATCGCCAATCCAAACCCTCCAGTGAAGGAAACTCCCCTCATTTAGCAAATACTTTTAATAGAGTTAATCTGAAGGACCACTTTCGGCATTCCGTATGAACCGTAGGGTCCAAAATCATAATTTACACTTCATTCTATTAAATTAGAAAAGCATTATTTATAACTAAATAAATACCCCTAGGCGACATACTGAAAAAGCCTGCTTCACTATTTTCAGGGAGGGATAGAGATAGAGATAGAGAGAGATTCAGAGCTCCTTCTTTCGTGGAGATTTAAGAAGAATTTCTTCTATTTCAGGCTACGATTCTTGGTTGAAATCGTCACCGCTACTAAAAATAGTTCAAATCAACACCTCTTTCATTCCTAATTTTCTACACGAAGAAGAAGAACAAGAGAAAATGATGCAGATGGATCGGAGAACCTGTTTGGATGAGTATGAAAAGCTTGTTGTTCGTATGAACACTCCCAGGTCAGTTTTTCTGAGCTCTTTCATCGTTTTCTAGGGTTTATGTTGATCGCACTCTGTTTAAATTCGGTGGAAACAAGTATTTGATCGTTGAAATCATCAATAAGCTCGTAATTACTGTTCAGATGGAATGAATAATCTCGATTTTCATAGGTTTGAACTTTTTTTGACTGATTAGGTCTAATCCTCGTTCCACACGATTCAATTTTGACTTTTCTACCAACTTTTTGCCCCTTTTCTAAGTCTTCCCAATTTGATTTCCGTTCCTGTTCGGAATATGAGATTCGTTTCATACCAATGCTTTTTTGTGACCTTTGTTTGCGTAAATCGCAGGGTAATGACCGATAATGCTAGCTGTGTAAATGCAACTCGAGTCATGGTAATTTTTAAGATAGATCGACCAGTTTCTTCCATTAATACGTATTTTTAGTTCTAGATTTGAACTGAATTGAATAAAAAAATCTCTATATTTCAGATCGATAGTGCGAGGAAAGATGAAATATTGCTTGAGGCGGTTCAAGTTCTCACAGATCTCAATCTTTCTATTAAGAAAGGTTATGTTTCCTCCGATGGAAGATGGAACATGGATGGTAAACTTGCTTTTCAGTTTCTTAATGCAGGGAGACTGTTTGTCTTAATGCTGAATGATTTGATTAACAGAAATCAACCGTGTTGACAACATGTTAAAATCTCAAATATATATATATATATATATATATATATATATATATATAT